GCACACAAACAACCAACCAACCAAAATGTAAGAAACGTCTTCACCAGACAGACCTAAATCTAAAACACAACAATAAACTAACACCGATATTCACATTGTCCATCATAAACATACAATCAACTGTTTACCACAGTTGGGCTCTGTTTTTTTAAGTCACCTGATAGACAATCGGTTTGAACAAAGAATGAACAATTGGTAGACATACATTCAACCAAAATGCAAGTAATCTGTTCACCAGGCAAATTTATAATTTAAAACACAACAGAACTAACATCGAAATTCATATTGCCAAACAAAACAATCATCAATAAATGTTGTTCTCTAGTCCATTAATCATCAGTGTATGATGCAAATGTTAGAATGCGAGGATGTCATTCCGCATGATTAGAAAGATCACCAAAGAGTTAGGGCATAATACAAAACATATACATTCGAGATTCAAGGAAACTACTACCATTACTGTACCATAACATGCATGAGTCTAACATAGATTAAGGACAAATATCTACATGACCTCTATCGAGAAAGGAGATTAAAGTCAAATGCACATGATGAGAAGTGAAAACAGAGGAAGAACAAGAAGCAGAGCAAGGACGAAAAAAATCAGAAAGTAATGGAGGAACCCCGATTTGATTCTGGGTATTAAGCCATAATCTCTCGAGTTATTTCATAACAAACTAACAATAAAATACAGAGATTATTTCATAAAGCCATAATCTCTTGAGTTATTCTTCATTCTCTTGGATTGATGTCTTTTTGGATTCTAAGGTTTTTTTCTTGCAATGACAGATGTTTTAATAGGGTTTATCATGTTTAAAAAGTAATCTAGATGAAGAGGGGATTAGGGATGCAGTTTTACATGTACAGTGAAGAACCAAGATGCGTTATGTCTGGAGGTTTGGAACAAAAGTGATTTTGACACCAAAGTTTCAATTATTTCTAAAACTATGTTATTGCAGAAAAAGTCAGAGTAAAAGATAACCAAAGTTTCAGCTATCCCAAAACTATGTTATGGCAGAGAAATATCAAAAAGTAACAGAAACCTGGATTTTTGTCAAAAACTTGCTAATCTACTGTTACAGAAACTACGATTCACAAAATAATATTGACATAAACAGCAGAGAAAATCAGAATATCTATTCTACATGCCTATAAGGAGGAAAATAAAATTAAAACTGTTACTAGCACATTCTAAATAATTGCACTTTTAATGTAATCTAATGTATGTTGTTCAAAAAAAAAAAAAAATGTAATCTAATGTATTTCCAAGTTCCATGCATCAACTATGTAAACACTGAAGAGGCCAATGTTTTTATACTATAAGTCTATAACAGTGATATTTCAGTCATTGTTACTATAAAAACTGAAGTCCGCATGTACGATTTATATAACCTAACACAGTATTCATCACCAACGTAGGGATGTTGAATTACGAGGGTGTCATTTTAGAAAGATCATCAAGTCATTAGAGTATAATGCAAAACAATCACAGACCATCACAAACCAATATGGACCCTTCATTGGGTATAATGTTAGATAAACACAAGAATAAATATTTCCAAGTCAGGTTAATCAATTTACCATACTGAGACTATTCCAATAATCAAGAAGGCAAAAGTCAGACTCGTACCAGAAGCAAAGATCACTGTCATTCGTAACAAATAATGAACAATAGGCAGACAAACAACCAACCAAAATGTATTCACCAAACAGATTTTATAATCCCAAACACAACAAAAAGTTAACATCGAGATATTCTATATGTCCATCATAAACAAACAATGAACAAGAAATGTTGTTTTCTTGCTCATTAATCATCAGTGTATGATGCATATTTAGAATGTGAGGATGATATTTCGTATGATTAGAATGATCACCAAAGATTCATAGCATAATGCAAAACATTTAAATTTGAGATTCAAGGAAACTAACACCATAATATGCATGAGTCTCAAATACGTTGAAAATAACTATCCACATGAAACTACTCCAGTATACATCTTTTTCTAAAAATGAGACCCCTAATGATACATACACACAAGCACCAAAACAAAGATGATAGTTATTTCTCTATTCAAGATAGAGATTACTGTAATTCTAAACACACAATATTGTAACGTTCAAATAAGCAAGAAATTTTGTACCACTTTATCAGATATGGTGAGAAATAAATATCTACAAGAGATTCCAAGATACGCCTTTTTCATTAAATGATAGACCTTACACAAAAGCACCAATTCAAGCATAAAGTCAAGGCAGTGGTTACTCAATAATCACACTGTATACAGAAAATCTAATGTTCTAATACTTAAAATCTACTTGTTCATCAAGAATCTGATAAATAACTAGATAAAGGATAGTAGCACGCATTATCTACACAACCATATATTAAAGAAATACTTAAATGGCACTTAAGATCAGTATTTTTAACTACGTAGATATACATAAATTAACTTAGTTTGTGATTTTCATATGAACTAATATCAATTTAATACAGAAAGATCTAGAAAGCTCATACCTGTGAAGTCTCTCTGTCCGAAGAGCAGATAAGTCCTTGAGAATTATGAACACCTATATATCAAAGAGAAACTTAAAGTGCACTTAGATGAGTATTTCTATCTTTGTGATTTTCATATATAACAATATCAACTAAATACAAAAAAATATAGAAAAGTGCATACCTGCGAAGTCATTCTGTCTGGAAAAAGCAGAGAAGTCCATGCGAATATGAACACTTTCTGTAGCATATACCTGAAAAATCCAAATTAGACATAGTTAAGTCTCTACTTCAAGTAAAACACCTCATACTTACCTTGTCACTTTCAAGGCACAGATCATGAATCTTTGTCTCAAGACTCATTCTCCAAGTCTTTGTCTTAACTCTTTTTTAAGCCGTGGGTAAACTGAGTAATCTTTTCCAAGTCTTTGTCCTAAGACTGTTACTCGTTTGAAGCCGTGGGTACAGTAAGACTCATTCTCCAAGTCTTTGTCTTAACTCTTTTTTAAGCCGTGGATAAACTGAGTAATCTTTTCCAAGTCTTTTGTCTTAACTGTTATTCTTTTTAAGCCGTGGGTACACTAAGACTCATTCTCCAAGTCTTTGTCTTAACTCTGTTTTAAGCCGTGGGTATACTAAGAAACATTCTCCAAGTCTTTATCCTAAAGACCTTTTCTTAGTTGTGGTTCATAGTCTATGTCTAGACTGATGGATCAAGCAAATCCAAAAACCAACCCAGTCTTTTCCTAAAGACTTTTTTCAAGCCGTGGGTACTAGCTTAAGACTTCTTTGAGCATTGGGTCATTTTTTCCATCCAACAAATCGAGACTCTGCCCATAGTCTCTGTTTCCAGCCATTGATCGTTCTTTGTCTGATGGCTTTTCCCTTGTGTTTATAGTCTCTCTTTAGGGGTCATGGTCTCTGTTTTTAAGACTTATGTAAGCCTTTTGGTCATATTTCAGAATTACTTTTTCGGTTCATAGTCTATGTCTAGACTGATGGATCCAGCAAATCCAAAAACCGATCCAGTCTTTTTCTAAAGACTTTTTTCAAGCCGTGGGTACTAGCTTAAGACTTCTTTGAGCATTGGGTCATTTTAGCTTAAGACTCTGCCCATAGTCTCTGTCCTTACAAACTTTCCAGCCATTGATCGTTCTTTGTCTGATGGCTTTTTCTTTGTGTTTACAGTCTCTGTTTCTAAGATTTGTGTAAGCCTTGTGGTCATATTTCAGACTTACTTTTTCGTTTCATAGTCTTAGTCTATGTCTCTAGACTGATGGATCAACACATCAAAAAACTGATCCAGTCTTTTTCGAAAGACTTAAGTCGTGGGTAAGTATAAATCTGTTTTAGACATTGTCCTTGTCTTAAAACATTTGTCAAGCCGTGGGTACAAGTAAGGCAGCAGATTCACTACTTTCTCTTAGCCGTGGGTACTAGCTTAAGACTTCTTTAAGCATTGGGTCATTTCTTCCATCCAACTAATCGAGAATCTCGACCCATAGTCTGTCTTTGGGTAGTAGTAAAGTAGTGAATCCGTTAAGTCTTTGTAAGGACTTTTATAAGCCGAGGGTAGTAACGGATTCACTACTTTTCAAGCTGTGGGTACAAGTAACTCGTCAGACCTTTTTATAGTCCTTAGACTCTCTAAGCCATCGGTCATAATTCCCATCCAACAAGTCCAAAACCAGTTTATAGTCTTGGGACTTTTTATAAGCCGTGGGTAGTAGTAAAGTAGTGAATCCGTTAAGTCTTTTGTCTAAAGACTTTTAAGCGGAGGGTAAAGTATGGATTCACTACTTTTCTCAAGCCGTGGGTAGGTGTAGGTAAGCAACGGTCCCACCATTTTATAGTCCTTAGACTCATCACAGTCTTTTCCTAAAGACATGCATGCACTACCAACCAATCAAACGGGACATTCTCACTGTTTATAGTCTTAAGACTTTTTATAAGCCGTCGGTAGTAAAGTAGTGAATCCGTTAAGTCTCTGTCTAAAGACTTTTGATAAGCCGTGGGTACTAACGGATTCACTACTTTTCTCAAGCCGTGGGTAGGTAAGTAACGGTTTCACCATTTTATAGTCCTTAGACTTCGGTCATGTTATTCACCTTTCTATAGTCCTTAGACTTTAAGACCATCGTTTTTTTTTCCTTCCAACGCAACAAAACCCATAGTCTTACTCTAAAAGACTTTCCAACCCCTGACTTTTCTTTGCTTAGACATGCACCACCAACCAATCAACGGGGACATTGTACCCAAACAAGATTCTGACAAAACACTATTAGATTAGTGTATGCCAATGATCTTTTGGGTTTGGAACTTTGATAAAACCAAAACCAAAGCGTAAATGCTTTGAAAATCTTGATAAAAAGCATAACCAAAAGCGAAAAGGTTTTGAGTTTTATAAAAAAGAGGACCTTTGTTGTTAGAAAACAAGAACACAAAAACCAAAAAATAACGAGTAAAAGAGCTGACCTGTTTTCTGCCGTTCATGTAACGAAGTATGGTTTCACTGTGCAGGCTGAATCGAAGTATGCTAAGTAGATTTCCTCCCCTGCACATATGGAAATAGCCAAATAAGTTGGCTAAAAAGAGTTGATGACAATTAATTACACATATTCCATGAATAGAATTAAGTTGGAGAACTGTTTTTCTGTCAAAACACAGAAGCAATGTCAACAAATAATACAACTTGCTGTTTCTTTCTTTAGTCTCCACTTACAAGGTTAAGAATCCAAGCAAGATATGTTGCCGCAGCAATGGAAGACCTTCCAATTGTGAAGTGTTCCAAGATATTTAATACAACCAAAGCCCTGAAAGAAGATACAAGATGATTCAAAAACCACACACAGGGACATGTATATACATAGATCAAACGAGTTTTATTTTCATGTAAACGTACCATTCGGTTTTGTCACCTAATGCTTTAAATTTTCTTGCAATTAGTATATCGTCGTTGTTGCTCAGGAACAGCAATTGGTTTCTGGAAAGGAAAGTATGCATCAGAGAATGGCAAGCAAGAAACTCAAAGACTGAAACAAATCTTGATTATCACAAAGAGAGCAAACAAAGCAGAAGCTTTCCTGAGTGACGCCGCCTTGTTCCAGAACAAGAAGACGATCCAGAAGAGCCAAACGACCGCTTCGTGCCGAGGAACTGAGACGGAAGATGGCGGAGAAGGGACCGGCGGCGGCAGATCGAGGCTTATCGGAAGAGAGGGAGGAGGATTCGTCGGATATGACGCAATCGACGCGAACGACGAGATTCTCGACCTCTTGGAAACAACGCAGCAGCGACCAAGGGCCTTGACATCGCCAATCTTTTTGAAAACGAGTAGGAGGATTGAGTCGGGGAGGTAATCCAAGTGGTCGATTTCTAGGGTTTGGGGCTCGGGGTGGATCCGAGAGAGCGGATCTCAACGGAGAATTACGGCCATTGAATAGCGAAACTGGGAGATTTTTTTCTGATTTGAGAAGATGGAGGACGAAGAAGAATCAGATCTTCCAGAGAGGTTTGTGGAGAGAGAGAGAGAATGATCTACATGGTTAAGCAAAAGCGCGTGCGACGCGTGAGCGAGAGTACAAGTTGTTTATCAGTTATATAAACACAAGACCGCACATATTGGTGTCACATGCACGTCGTGTCATGTGTCCATTCTTCGTCTGCACGCCCCGTCGTTTTTTTACTTTGATCATCGACGAAAAAAGCACCGTTGTCTCATGTCTGTCCGTCAGTGTTTTGAAAACCGGACCGGACCGGCCGGTTGAACCGGTTGGACCGCGAACCGGAGACTTACCCAGTTTGGTTTATTACAGAAAACCGGAATGGAAAAAACCCCATAAATCTGGTCAAAAACTGGTGAAAACCGAGTCAAACCGGAGTCATCCAAACCCGGTTTTTAATTTTGTAAGGTTTTCACCTTTAATTTCAGTGTTTTTGGAAGTTACACCGTTGATAATTTCTATCAAATTTGATGATCGTGATCAAGTTGATATGAAAATTGATAAAGAAACAACGAAAATGGATTTTACAGAAACTTTGAAAAAGGTGAACGAGAGAAGTAAAGAGAGGAGGGTGGCGGCGAGCGGGTTTTGTCGAGAAAATAATATTTTAGGGTTTTGTCAAATAGTTAATTGGGTGTATCGGCAGTGTGAGAAAAGGTAAAGTATATTCATTACTATATTCATATATATATATTATATTAAGGCCCGCGTATACGCGGGTATATTTTAAGATTTTATAATAAAAGCATGGAAAATATTAAACAAAATTTGATCATTTTTAAACGTAAACAAAATAATATTGAAAACCCGATAAAAATATTTAAATAAAATAAGATTGGTAATACTTTTACATTTTTATTGTAATTGATTTTTCTTTTGAATTTATGATATGACAAAATGAATTAATTTGTTTTACTATTATTTTTATCCAATACAGAAAGACTTACACATGTCTAAATCTGATCAACTGATTAATTAATCAAACTTTTATTATTCCATTCAAGAGATTTTAATTGATGAAATCTTTATTTCAATTTTTTTACCTAACAAAAATTGAAAATCAAACTATTTAAAATTAGAATATCAATTATAATTTTTTAATATTAGTTAATTGCTTGATAATTATTTTGTTAGTTTTCTATTTATATTTTTTCTTTCTCAATTTTGTTTTTGCCTCAGACCATTATAAATACTATATATTGGTATTTTTCCTTTTCGAAATGGATTTTTTTTCCTTTTCTTAATAGATGTAACAAAAGAATTTAAATTATTTGTTTCCTGTTTTTTTATTACTTTTAATGGATGTATTATTTTTTCATTTTAATTATTTGTTATCTGTTTTTCTAATTTTTAGTTAGTCTTATACATATTAATTTTTTTTATTTTTATTCCATGACACATGTTACGATCTTCATACTTCCAGAATTTTTTTTTTCTAAAACACATGTCGCAATTTTGTCAGTTATAAAAATCCTATGTATCGCAAAACTTTCAAAAACATGATTTTTAAATTGGAGAAATAGAATCAAAGGGATTTGATGAATTTGCTTTGATGAATTTATGATTGAGAAACCTTGACTCTCTTTTATAGGGGTTCAAGTAACCTATTACATGCAGTTATAGGAAATTTAGTTTACATAACATATTCCATGTACAAATAGGATTTTATTTATTACATTATTTTGATTTTATTATTTGTTTGGATAATATTAATTTGATGAATGGGAAACCTTTCTCTATTAGGATATGACAAATATATTTTTATTTCTTTTAACTGTAATGGATTATTTTTTTAAAAAAATTCCTTTATCTAAATTTTTTTATTATTTTTTTTTCTCTAAGACATGTGTCACGATCTTAACGGACGTAACATTAAAAGTGACACATGTCGCGATCTTATAAATTATAAAAATCTATGTGTCGCAACCACGTCGTGCGCATGCGCATCCAACTTTATATAAAAAAAATTGATGAATGGAAACCTTTTTCTGTTTGGATTTGGCAAATATTATTTTTTCCTTTTTGATATAATATATTAAATTAAATTTCGTTTTTTTTAATTAACATTTTTCTGGAATTTTTTTTTAAGTTCTCTTTTTTTCCTAAGACACGTGTCACGATCTTAACGGACATAAACTTAAAAGTGACACATGTCGCGATCCTGAATTTTATAAAAATCCTACGTGTCGCAACCACGTCGTGCGCATCCAGCTTTATATAATAAGAATAATACAAATAGATTTTATTTATTACATTATTTTGATTTTATTATTTGTTTGGATAATATTAATTTGATGAATGAAAATCTTTCTCTATTAAGATATGACAAATATATTTTTATTTCTTTTAACTGTAATGGATTAATTTTTTTTTTAATTCCTTTATCTAAAAGCATCAACTTTATATAATAAAAAAAATTGATGAATGGGAAACCTTTTTCTGTTTGAATATGACAAATATTATTTTTTCCTTTTTGATATAATAGATTAAATTAAATTTCGTTTTTTTTAATTAACATTTATCTGATTTTTTTTTTTTAAGTTCTCCTTTTTTTCTAAGACACGTGTCACGATCTTAATGGACATAAACTTAAAAGTGACACATGTCGCGATCCTGAATTTTATAGAAATCCTACGTGTCGCAACCACATCGTGCGCATCCAGCTTTATATAATAAGATATATACTTGTGTATTAAACCCGGTTGAACCGACCGGATTAACTCATGACCCAAAAAATTTCCGGTTCATTGTCTGATCTGGGGATGCATACTCCGCCGTCCTGAGCCGTGCCAACGTGTATAGAGGCTATAGGCCAGTCTTTGAAAAAACAATTTGTAGAGAAAAATTTACAAAAATGCTTACAAAACTTTTTTTAATATCTTAATACTTAATTTTGTTTCTTATTCTTTATTTAGTTCCAAGTAAATTATACACTTTTCATAGAAATAAAATTACATCTTCTAAACTTGTACATACAAATAGTCTCAAACTATAGTTAAAAAGTTTAAATAACTCTTACATTTTATTTCTAAAAAATCTGGACGTAGGCAATGTTTGAGAAATGTTTATAAGAAAACTATAAGAAAATAATTAGACGTAGGCCAATGCTTCTAAAGTTATAACATAGGCACGGCTTCACCGAGTTGTTTTTGACCAAGTCTTCCACTCGTCCAAGGCTCTTTTTCACCCTGAGAGCTGATAATAAGTTATTCTTCTACTCATCACCACAACCTCAAAATCCAGATGAAAGTTCTACTCTTGTAGCCACACGTTATCATGCGTCATTCCCCGAATATTTTCCATCTGATTGGTCTGTGGACTGTTCTACGGTCTGTGGATTGGCCCTTCTTCATAGTTATAATAAAACAAAGGGGCTGGTGGTTTGCAACCCTGTCACGGGAGCATTACTAACCTTACCCAAACTGCTTCTGAAAGACAAAACCGTACCCGAAGTGAAAGCTGAAGGGAAGAGTAATCACACAGCGAGAGAAAGGATTGAACGAATCTCTCTTGGCTATGATCCGATCAACAAACAGTTCAAAGTGTTGTGTATGACCACGTCACTCGAGGAAAGACCCAACACTCATCAGGTTTTGACATTGGAGTCTGGAAAACGTTTGTGGAGAAAGATCGAATGCAAATTCCATTTTATGAGTAATACTAGAGTAGGTGATGAAATATGCATAAATGGTGTTTTGTATCTCGGAGCTAAGATGGGAAAATCTTCGGTGATAGTTTGCTTTGACGTGAGGTCTGAGAAGTTCGGCTTTATTAACTTGGATAAGGACATGGTAGTAAATAACCCTTATTGTAACCATTATACTTGTAGCTACTTAACTTTCTTTTTTTTTTTTTTTTTTTTAATTAATAGTTTTCCATTAATAAGAAAACATACAATATACCCTTCGGGTTAAAGCGCTTACAAGAATATACTAAAGCTAACTCCTCACAACCAACTCTAATGAACCTGAAAAACAGAGAACCAAGTTGTTAGAAAGGAGACCGTTGAAGGAGAGTTCCTTTGAGCTCTAGACATAGGATCGAGCTTCCTACGGAGTAACCCTTTGATATCCTGCAGAACCGAAGAGGGAGAACGAGCAACATTCGTGTGGAGGCGAGCGTTTCTTTCCTTCCAGATGAAATAAACCGAGGCATGGAATAAGATTTTGAGGATAGTTTTCACGTTCTTATCAGAAGTGGAATGGGTGATCCAAATGATAGAGTCTTCAAAAAGAGGAGGAGCATTGAGATTTGCCGCTGTCGTAAAGGAAGACCAGATTTCCTTACTGTAGGCGCAATCAAAGAACAGATGCTGACGAGATTCATGAAGCACATTACACAATAGGCAAAGAGGCGAAACCTGAATTCCCCACCCTCTCAGCCTATCCCTAGTGAGCATCCTGTTTCGAGCTACAACCCAACAACCGAAAGCATGCTTCGGTATCCTATGCTTGAACCAAACACCCTTAAACCACGCCACATTAGCTATAGTTGGGTTTAGAGCTTCCCAAGTACGAGAAGCAGAAAAGAAGACGATGGGTTACTCTCTCCAATCTTCCACCGATACACATCCTCGCTCTCACTCGACCAGATCTGATCCACAAGAGGGAGACAAGTTTTCAAAAGAGCAATAACAGGGTTGCGAGACCTAGAACCTGCCAACCACCACCGTCCCTCTGTTATAGCCTCCGCAACCACAGCTTGAACATTAAGACCTGAGATTCTGGGACCACTCTCCCCAGTCAAATCTAAAAGAGGACCCAAACCAGTCCAATTATCCATCCAAAAGCTCGCCGTTAAACCTCGCCCCACTTCACAAACCAGGAAAAGTCTTGCCAACGGTCTCAGTCTGCACAACTGTTTCCAGATCCAACTACCCGAGCGACTATAATCCATCGTCCAAAAGTTTCTGCCCTGGATCATGTGAGCCTGACCCAAGACACCCAAAGCGAACCAGCTGAGGTAAACAGGAGCCAAATCAGTTTTAATCCCAGGACCTTGTTCCAATCCGCGAGCCTTCTCAATCCCAAGCCACCACTCTCCTTCGGAGTACAGCAAGACGCCCACGAGACTTTTGCTCCTCTTGCTGTGCCCACTGCTCCCTTCCACAAGAAAGCATTACACATCTTCTCAAGCTCCTCAATGCATTTCTTGGGGAGAATAAAAATTGATGCCCAAAAGTTGATTGTCGAGTAAATCACCGACTGAATAAGCTGTAAACGTCCCGCAAACGAAAGACGTCGAGCTGTCCAAGAAGTGAAGCGACTCTTGACCTTATCTATAAGGGGTTGATAATCACTTGGTCTGAGTTTCTGCGTTGTTAGCGGAACACCGAGATATCTCACCGGCAAGGACCCCAGAGAGAGGTTATGATAATATTCAGCTACAAAGGTAAATTAGGTATACGTCAGAATAGAGGTTATGATAATATTCCACTTGTGTTGTGGGTTATAGAAGATGCTCAAAGACATAAATGGTTCAAGCAGACCTACGAATTGCCTCCTTTAGCTCAGTTCAGCAGTTTTCACTTTGTTGGAATGACTTGTACAGGTGAAATCGTGTGGTTGTACTATTCCTGCGTTTACTTCTACAATCTCGAGAAGAAAACTTTTACAAGAGTCAATATTCAGGGATTTAAAGAGTTTGAGCATCGTCGTCATAGTGTTCGCACCTTTGTAGACTATGTGGAGAATCTCAAGTTGGTGTAATTAAGTGTGTTGAATGGTTTCAAATAAAAACCAAACTGTGTCATGTCTTTAAGAGATAACAATCCTGAGCTTGTTTAAACCGCATTTGTATTGCTTGTGTTTTTTTTCCAAGGGAATTTTGTTCACTATTGCTTAATCCATAACTCCAGATACTGCAGCTCCTTATTACTGATCGAGTGTCCAAAATCTAGATAAGCCTGGCAAATGTATGAAACGCATATCTCTTCAGATTTATATTCTCAAGAAATGGATTAAAAGATCTTTCCGTGTGATGAGTATATAGGTTAATTTGACTGCTCTGTTACATGGATTCAAAACATGAGTGTGTTGAAGCAAGCATTTTTTTTTTCGAAGAAAGAAAACTCTGCAAAGAGATTCCACAAGTAAGATACCTTAATCAGAATTAACAGCTCTTTATACCAACTCCAAATGTAAAAAAGGTTAGTTTCGTTTTGGTTTTATGTTCCAGTGTCAAAGTGTTTTCACTCCGTTTTCTCTTTCTTCACGAGCAAGCTTACAAATCTTCTTTTGGGCTAGAGATTCCTTGGATTTCAAGTAAAAAGACTGCGAAAATGAGATGATCTCTTTATAGTGAAAAAACATCATCTTGATCTCCACTTCAACCTCACTGAATATATTGCTCTGCCACTAATTATGCGTGAGTCCGCTGGCTTCTTCATCTGCTGATGAACATATGTTCCTCTGACATATCACCCTGAATTCTGACAAGACTGAGACAAATCACTAGCTCAACTGCTCAACAACCTTAAGCAAAAGCTTATTCTTTCTGTAGCTAAGAAAACCTTCTTTTTCACTTCAAATTTGAAACATGATCCTACCTGAAACAGGACAAACGCTCTTAACTCCCACTGGTTTCTCTGATTTTATAACGATCTCATAAAGAGATATCCCTCTTCCTTGGCTCTCTGACCTGAGCCATAAAAATCAGAACTTATTTAAAAGCCAAGCTTAGGATCTCACCAAGAACTGATCATCACACGATTGAGCCGCTCAGATCATTTTGATAGTCTCATTCTTATCATTGAGACATTCTTTTCAGTCAACACCTCCTTTAACCTATGGTGATATTTGATGTAATCTCCGATCACCATCACGTCATAAGACGAATATGAGTGTTAGATTTCATAAAACCAGTGACTTTCCAGAAAGCCAACCTTCTTCAACTATGTCGAACCCTTTACATTTTTCTTTATCTGAGTAGCCTTTCTTGAAGCTTTGCTAACTTAGCAAGGCTTTCTTTAGGTTTCATCTCTCAGATTCCACCTCTTTCTTGCAGAGACTTAATCTCTTTGTCAAGTTCTTTAAGCTTCTTTTTAGTATTGGCTGCTTATTCTTCCTCAAGTTCTCCACTAAACTACTTTTCAGGCTATCAATTTCATTTCTTGCATCTTCACATACTTCTCTCATTTGCCTCTTTCGTAGCCAGTTCCAAACTTTCAATCTGGGTTCCACAATGTTCAAGCTCCGCTTGACATGTCAAAAGCTTCTCCTTAGCTTCCAAAGATATGTTTCCTGCAAATCCAAAGTTAAGATCTCCAAAGCTTTCTTACTTTTCTCCTTTTCCTTCTTACAGCTCTCCAACTCTGTAGCAAGTTTTGTCTTTTCGCTCAGTAGGGTTCTGATTATGTGATATTGTAGTCTTTTCTTTGTGCAAAGCCCTAACCTTTTCTTCATAGCTGAATCTAAAGATTCTGAAGCGCATGTCTTCAACTAAATTTGATTCTTCAAATTGTCTAACTTCTTCCAGTCACCTGCTTAGCTGTTAGCGAGGATTCCACAACTTTGAGACTCGACATGGAGATGTTCAATGGATTCTTCTTGTTCCTTCTCAAGGATCTTAACTTTCTCAAGTTTCCCTCTCAACATTCTCGATTTAAGATTTTAGTTCAGACTTTAGCCACAACCTCATCGCCTTCAGTAGCTTCCTTTTGTTCCTCTGAGCCAACCAATGACTTAAATTATGCAGAGGCTTGAATATTCTCATATTAAACACTTGATTTTCTTGATTAAAATTCGTTGACCCTTATCAAGCCAAGTCTGCTCCAGGTGTAATGCTCTGATTGTGATTCTGAGGCTAATATCTAAGCCAAGGAACTAACCTGTATGCGAAAGGTCAACAACAGCATGTGATCAATGCATCCGCATATGCAAAGAAAAGTGATTGACTATATGTAGTAATGAATGTATACCTGATTAGATGTTTCTCTCTGTGGCAAACACGAAGACAAGGATCTCCAAGCATTTCCTGACTGTTCAAAGGAAAAGGTCATTAGGGAAGCAATTCAGTTTTCTGTCATGACATGCTCGGTCTTCAAGTCAAAAGTAACTGAATCTGTCATGAAATTTCTACATATGCACTGAACAGTTAGTTATAAGGCATAGAGATGGCTGGAAAAAAGTGAGATAAAACCACATAAAAGCTTTTACCTGTGATCTTACCGAAGCTGAAGCAGGTCACAGTTGGTCAAGAAATATGGCCACCTATCTATCTGGAAGCGAAGCCTTTGAAGAAAGCTCTGCAAAGAAAAAGCAAAAAGAGATTCCACAAGTAAGAAATCTTAATCATAATTTAGACAGCTTGGAAATGTAACAAAAGGTTATTTTCGTTTTGGTCAAAGTGTTTTTCACTCCGGTTTCTCTTTGATAACTCTCTACCATCTTCTTCTTAAGGGCCTTGGCCTTGACCTCAACAATATCTGCAACTCGGTTTCTTTGTCATGTAGACTGATTCTCTTTCATCTTTGAAAAGTCCTCTATCTTCTTTACCGCTGAAGCTTCCTGCACATTAAGCTCTTGATTCTCTTGATTCGTATTCTTTGAATTTCGTCGGCAGATTTTGCCTGAAGCTCCTCGTTTTCATCGAGGAAGCACCCTGCAACTCCTTCTCTTTATAGAGTTGTACATGTTTTAAGGGTTTGTCAATCCTTCAATCTTTTGAACCAATGAGGCAGAATTTGAATTCTTCATCTCATTTCCGACACATTTTGTTTTCTTAGGAGATGAATGGAGCTTCTTTGGATTTGAGCTCCTCATTTTCGCCAACAACACCCTGTGTAACAACTCACTCTCTTCGATCTTCTTTTGGGCTAGATATTCCTTGGCTTTTGAGGAGCATACCATCAAAGCTCATTTTCTTTATCGGGAAGACTTTCTTGCATCTTCTTTAAGTTTCATGCTCTCAGCCTCTTTCCCTGCATATTCTTGATGGTTTGTTGTGTCATCTTTCAAATTCTTATCAGTCGCTTTCATTGGACTTTCTTGTACTTATAACTTCAATCGATAATCTCTTCTTCTATCTATGCACCTGGAACCATTTTCCTTTGAAGATTCTACATCTTTTCCAGTTTTCATCTGGTTTCTTAAGTGTGTGTGGAAAGAAGCTTTTTCTAGCAACTTTGATGACAACTCTTCCATCTTCTTACAAGTGGAAGCCTTCCCTGGCCTTGAGCTCAACGTTATCATGATTTACAGTCTACAGCTCAAGTTTCATCTTTGACAAGTTCTCTATGTTCTTTGTCTGCTGAAACTTCCTGCACCTTAAGCTCTTGATTTTCTTGGTTTACTCTTCAAAATGCATTTTCCTTTCTCGAGATGGAACAACTCACTACTCTTGTTGAAAGAGGATGACTCGTTTTCATGGAATACACCCTGCAACTCTTTCTCTTTATCAAGTACGCTCTGTTTAAACTTTGGCCTTGAGCTTCTCATTTTCTACAAGGGCAGTCAAATTTTGTTTAAGATCGGACAACGCCTCTTTGGATTTGAGCTCCTCATTCTGTAACTCAATCTCAAACTTTTATTTATAATCCTTTTCCTTTTTGGATTTGAGCTCCTCACTCTCATCCTGTTGGCTTTTTAGGTCCTCAGTCCTTTTTTTTTTTCTTTTTCAACAAGACTTTCTTGCAGCCTCGTTAACTCTTCAATTTTCTGGAGTTTGGTTTCTCAAGCTATCAGCAAGGATTTCATTTACCTTTGACAACTCATCAATCAATCTTCTTTTGTTAAGAAGACTCCCTTTCTCAACGGTCTGCAGTTTCACAACTCCTCAAGCTCTGCAATTTGGTTTCTTTATCAACCAATCTCTCATTCACTTCAGAGAGCATGGTCCTTTCTTCTAAGCTCCGCAGCTTCTTCAAAACAAGCTCTCGTTTTCCCCGCTGACATTTCTTCTATCTTCTTGAGATAATCAATCTTCATCAAATGAAGTTCTCCTTGTTCCCACTCAATCTTCCAAAATACCATTCACATTTGACAACTCTGCGTCCATTTCTCTGAGTTTTTTGTTTTCTGCAGTAGCCTTCTTTAGCTCGTCTTCCTTTTACAGCAAGCTTTCTTTAAGTTTTATGCTTTCAGATTTTGCTTCTCCACCTCTTTCCCTGCAGATCCTTAACCTCCTCCTCACCTTCTTTAAGATTCTTTTTAGTATTGCATATCAATTTCCTCTCTTTGCTATGCCCTTCACATAAATCATCAAATGAAGTTCACCTTGTTCCCACTCAATCTTCGAATTTCCAATCTCATTCCCATGTTTTCTAAACCACTTTTCAGCCTATCAATTCGTTTTCTTGCATCTTCAAGCATCTGTACATTTCTCTCATTTGTCTCTTTCGTAGCCAGTTCAATCTGGCTTCCACAATGTCCTTAGATTCCATAGATACTTCCTGACAAATCCAAAATGAAGCTTTCCATAGCTTTTTTGCTTTACTTTCTCTTCTTCCTTCTTACACTTCTCCAATTCTGTACCAAGTTTTGTCTTTTCGATGTTGCAGCCTTTTCATCGTGTAAAGCCTTGACCTTTTCTTCTTGGGCGGTTCCAAGGTCAGATTTGATTGACTCAACAAGCTTTTCAAGCTTAAAAAGTTTTTGAGATTATATCCAACTCTGCCTCATGAAGCTCATGGCTTTTTATCCTCTAGCTGCTTCATAGCTGAATCTAAAGATTCCGAAGCTGCTTCAGATCTTAACTTTCTCAAGTTTCCATCTCTCAACATCTCGATTTGAGATTTTTAGTTTAGACTTTAGCCACAACCTCATCGCCTTCAATAGCTTTCTTTTGTTCCTCTGAGCCAACCAATGACTTGAATTATGCAGAGGCTTGAATATCTCAAATCTCGTAACTATTGCCTCTCTGAGTTTTCTCATTGGCTTTATTTTTTTTCAGTTTCTCAGACCTTTAAAGATCATCAAAGAGATTTAGCTTTATCTCTCTTGAGCACTTCTCTTTGCTCGTTAGCTTTCCTCAAATCCTCTTGAATCTGAATCAGTTGAGCCTGAAGCTCAAATCCATTCCCCAGCCGTGATTCAGATTTGTGAAATAGATTCAAGTTTTATGTAACATACGATCCATCGACTCAGATTCTTGAATTATGCAGAGGCCTGAATATTCTCAGATTCTTGAATGATGCAGAGGCTTGAATATTCTCTTCATACTGTGTAGACACAGCAAGAGAGTCTTGAGACATCATCCAACATATATACATCATGTCGTCCTGATGATTTTCAGCAGAGTAGTGAATTTGCCATTCTTGTGGGATCTCACTGCAGAAACATGAATTTCCCATTTCCTGGGACAAGCAGATGACAGAATCTTTCCAAAGAACAATTTTTTCTCCATTAAGATGCAGAATATTGAATTTCAAGACAAATACTTAAGCAGAACACTCAATCCTCCCATTCCGACATTAGACTATGAGCAGACAATTGAATCACCACCCATTCCAACATCATTAGACAAGCTTTCCTCCCTCAAGAACATTTACTCTCTCAATCAATACGCAAAAAGCATTGATTTAAGCAGAATTATTGAATTCTCCAACCGGACTATCACTTAAAGAAGCAATTTTACTCCATGATGCAGAGATATTGAATATCATGGATTCTCCCATTCCGACATTAGACTTGGAGCAGACAATTGAATCACCCAAGCCAACCTCATAAGACAAGCTTTCCTCCCTCAACAACACTCCGAACCAATACGCAAAGCATTGGATTAAGCAGAATATTGAATTATCATTTATAGAAGCAAGCAATTTTCCTCCATTGAGCTTCTCATCTTCATTCGTTTTGAGATGAGACAATACCTCTATTGTCTTAAGAGATGAAGGCTCTTTGGATTTGATCTCTTCACTCTCTTTTGCACGGGCAAGCTTTTCTTTAGATTTGATATCTCTTCTTTCAATCTTCTTTGGCTTTCAGAGGTACTCAAAGCTCATTTTCTTTGTCCTAATAACTTAGCAAGACTTTGGTTAAGTTTCATGCTCTCAGATTTCTCTTCTCCACCTCTTTCCCTGCATATCCTCAATTTCTTTGATATTCTTTATCCTCAATTTATTGGATTCTTCTTCTTCTTCTTCTTCTTCTTTAGGTTCTGTCGGTTCTTGATCCTGCAAAACTGCGAATAATCACAAGATTAAAAAACGTTTATCTAAAAATTCCTGCTTGTAATGGTTAAATTGCATTCTTATTTTTATTTTGCAATCGAGAAGTTTGCAATCCCCAATTTCGCTTCTCATAACAGAAATCAGTAAACCCTAACAATCACCCAGCGAAATCCGAGACCAAATTCCAATATCCAATCCACAGATCTGATTACAAAAACAAAAACCAAAAAGAGAGCAAAGAAACTTACGAGAAAGAGCACATCGTAAAGCGGATTCGAACCAGAGTTCCACTCGGCGAGCCTCATCTTCCGTCTCTCCCTCCGTTCATGAAATCAATCAAACCATCTCCAGGCGGAGAAATCATACGCCTTTTCAATCATCGCCGTCACAGCACTACCGGCTGATTCCTCCGCCGGAGCCGTTTTGCTTCCACTCGATCACAAAACCGACTCAAGTCAGAGAAAATAGGGGAGAGAGAGAGAGAGAGAGAGAGAGAGCGCGCGAGAGGCAGAGAAGAATGAAGAATGAAGAGAATCTGGGTGGAGAGTTGATCGGAATAAAAAAAAAAGAAGCAATGTGCCCTGTAATCTTGAATAAATAAAAGGAAATGAAGGATACACAACGGTCACAAATATTTTGAATATGGAGGAGCGTGTAAATTTACTTAACGAGAACGGCCTAATTTTTTCTAGCCAATGTTCTTCTTCATCCTCGAAACTGTGTCGTTTCAAAGTTTCACCTTAAAGCATCTCTTGTTCTGATGCTGCTCAGTGCTCAGCTTGACTCCTTTGATAAGTCCCAATACCAATAAAATATTTGGTTTTAGCAGATATTTCTGTATAGGTGACTTTTACCACCATAGAACCCAATTTTACCATCTCTGCCAAACTCTTCTTCACAAAATTCCGTTACTCTCTTGTCAAACCAGTGAAAACATTAGCTTCCGTTACAGAAAAAAGTGAATTTTCAACTTGGATCAAAGAATATTTAGAGGTCAAAAAAATCTGATGTGGTTTGCACTAAATTCTGAGCTTTATGATAGAGTTTGACTTAGATCACATTAACAAAATCATGTAAATCAGAAGCAAACTCTACACCTGCTGGTCCACCATCTCTTTTGCATCCAAGTCTTTGTAGATTAATTTAGTTATAAAGGTTTCTTGTCTCTCACGTTTTTCTCTGTAAATAAGATATTTTTCCTAGCAACTTTGATAACTCTCTACCATCTTATTAAGCGCTTGATGAGTGCAGCATTGTAATGAACTTGGTTTCTTTGTCACGTAGACTCTTTCATCTTTGCTGCTGATGCTTCCTGCACCTTACGCAAGCTCTTGCTGTTCTTGATTAATTCTTTCAATTCATTTCCCTTATCAAGTTGGCTATGCTTGAGATGTACGTGACCAACTACTTAGCTTCCTCAAAGACGATGCTTCCTTGGCCGTAAGCTCCTCGTTCTCTTTACCAAGTTAACTCTGTTTTTAAGGTTTGTCAGCTCTTCAATCTTCTGAGACAATGAGGCAGCTTTGACTTTGAGCTTCTCATCTTGACCATTGCATTATTCAGCTCATTCTCCTACGCCTTCAGATTTATGAGCTAACCAATGGGTGGTTTTGTCATCTTTAAAATGTTTATCAGTGACGGACTTTCTTGTACTTTTTGTTCTCGGGTTCAAGAGGATCGCTTTTAGTAATCTTTGCCTTGAACCATTTTCCTTTAAAGACCATATAGGGCCTGTTCGTTTATGCATTTGAATGCAATATTCAAATGCAGCATCTAGATGCATTTTCAAATGCAGTATTTAGATGTTGTTCTTTTTTTGTCAAAATAGCTTTTGCATTTAGAAATTGCAATTGGATGTAATGTTGTTCTTTTGTGAATTTGTTAAAAAATCTGAATGCAAAATCTATCAAATGAAAATCCAGATTTTACAGTTGTTGTAGAAAACATAATTTTACAGTTTTCCATCAAAAACCTAAAAACACGTTTTTCCATCAAAAATCGTAAAATCACGTATTTCCGCCAAAACTGTAAAATCACAACTTTCCACAAAAATCGTAAAATCACATAATTCCGCCGAAAACGTAAAATCACGTTTTTCCGCCAAAACATAAAATCACGGCTATCCACCAAAACTGTAAAAGTATGTTTTCCCGCCAAAATCGTAAAATCATGTTTTCCCGTCAAAAACGTAAAATTACGGTTTTCTATCATAGCCGGAAAATCGTGATTTTCCGTTTTTGGCGGAACGTCGTGATTTTACGGTTTTGACGGAAATACATGTTTTTACGGGTTTTGGCGGAAAGACGTGATTTTATGGTTTACTATCATAGCCGAAAAATCGCGATTTTACATTTTTGGCGGAAAAACATGATTTACGGTTTTGGCGGGAAAACATGATTTAACGATTTTGGCGGGAAAACATGTTTTTACGGTTTTAGCGGGAACACGTGTTTTTACGGTTTTGGCGGGAAAATGTTTTTACGGTTTTTACGGTTTGACAAAAAATGTGATTTTACGGTTTTGACGGGAAAACGTGTTGTTACGGTTTTGGCGGAAAATTGTGATTTTACAGTTTTGGCGGTAAAATGAGTTTTTACGGTTTGACAAAAAAATGTGATTTTATGGTTTTGACGGAAAAACGTGTTGTTACGGTTTAGGCGGAAAATTGTGATTTTACAGTTTTGGCGGAAAAACTTGTTTTTACGGTTTTGGCGAAAAATGTGATTTTACGGTTTTGAAGGAAAAACATGTTTTTACGGTTTTGGCGGGAAAACGTGGTTTTACGATTTTGGCGGGAAAACATGTTTTTACGGCTTTGGTGGAAATTTGTGATTTTATGGTTTAACAAAAAAATATGATTTTACAGTTTTGGTTGAAAACGCAATTTTATGATTTTAACGGAAAAAAAAAAGATTTTATGATTTTAATGTGTTTTAGTTTTTTTTTAAATGCAAATGTTGCATCCAAACTCTATGTTTTTCAGCATTCCAAATATCTAGATATTTGAAATATTTTTGATTTTGCCTTCAAATGCAGCATTTGAATGTCCAAATTTGTTGCATTGTTACAAAAACGAACAGACCCATAGTCTTTTTCTTTTTCTTTGGTGTCATTAGGCTTCCCGTTTTCATCTGGTTTCTCTTGTGTGGAAAGAAGCTTTGATAAGTCTACCATCTTCTTAAGCGCGGAGCCCTCGAGCTCAACATTATCATGAGCTACAAAGACTACAACTCGGTTTCTTTGGCATGTTGCACTTTACATTTATTTTCTTAAATTCTAATCCTCAAATTTTGGTTATCTATCTTTATTATTATATTATTAATTGAGAAGTACATTCTAATGTTTGGATACAAAATAAGAGAAACATCTATTTGGATAGAAGAATAAATGGAAAAAAAGTTGTTTGGATATAAAAATAAGAGAAAAATTATTTGGATAGAATAATAAATGGAAAAAATTGTTTGGATACAAGAATAATAACTTAAAACAAACCGATGGTTTAGAAAACTTCCGTTTTCAGCTCTTAAAAAATATGCAAAAAAAGAAAAATTGACATAATTTATCAATAATACCAAATCAATAGAATATGTTCGAATGATATTTGCAAAATTTTCAATAGTGAAATAGAAATATGTCTAATTTAAATCAAATTGTGGATTTTTGTTCAGGTATTTTTGAAAATTTCTGTTCGGTTTGGGTTCGAGTTTTTTTGGGTTTAGTTCAGGGTTTTCGGGATTTTTGGATTTTGGGTTTAGACATATTAAAATTTGTTGGGTATTTTAAAATTTTTATTAGGGTTTTAGGTCGGGTTCGGGTTTCGGGTGAAAAATTTTCGAGTTTTTTTTTATTCTGTTCAGGGTTATAGGGATTTTTTGGATTTCGGATTTTCGGGTTTAGACATATTAAAAAGGTTTGGATTTTTTTTAAAAATTTGACTAGGGTTTTTGGGTCGGGCTCGGGTTTAGGATTTAGATTTTCTTCACAAAACCGCATAATCACACTGCGCGTTTGCGCGGGTCCTCTACTAGTATATATATAGTTGGTGTCATTCTATTATGCTGTGGACACCTCAGGTGTCATTCTATTATGCAAAAGAGATACCTTCTAAATTCAGCTTTATTCCACGTGAGCCACCTTCTTTATTCCAGCTTTCAAATTTTTATTTCTACTAGGAGAGTACCCACGTTTTATTTTAGTTTACAATTTTTTATTTATTTTCCAATCGTTACAACTTAAGAAATATATGATCTTAAAATATAATTATAATATGAAAGAATACTCATCCACTATTACATATTTTATGCTTGTATAGAGTTATAACTCAAGTGATGATTTCTCTTGGCTGAATGTATTTGAATAAGCAGACAATACGTCATGTATATGTGATAGAAATAGAAGATAATATGAATTAGGATTGGATTATAAAAGAGTTGACAACAGAGTCTAACACACCTTACAAAATGCCACGGTAAAACATTGACACTACCAAAAATACAAACATATACATATATTTTAATTTCTCTTTCTATTTTGAACTCTCTTTGAATCCCCAAAACAACTTTGAATTTGTTGAAGTGATCGGAAATGGGAAGTGTCTCAATGTCCTCTCCCGAAATAAACACTTCTTCCAGCCTTGCCAGAAACGAAACACTTGCAGGAAAATAGAATAAGCGCCATTTTGAGATGCATCTTTATGACATATGAAACTAAAACGCAAGAAAGAAACCCTTATTCACTTGCCCGAAACTCAACCCAATTTAAACTCTAAAACGAAGATTAACGCATTCTTACAGCTAAACATAAATCAGTTTTCAAAATCTTAAAGGCAATTACCAGATATTCTTCTACTACTAACAACAAAAAACGATGCGGACATAAGACAAATGACTGGTCAAACTGAATAACTAAACCATGAACAGTTTTGGTTATCTATCTTTATTATTATATTATTAATTGAGAAGTACATGTTTGGATACAAAAATAAGAGAAAAATCTATTTGGATAGAAGAATAAATGGAAAAAAAGTTGTTTGGATATAAAAATAAGAGAAAAATTATTAGGATAGAATAATAAATGGAAAAAATTATTTGGATACAAGAATAATAACTTAAAACAAACCGATGGTTTAGAAAACTTCCGATTTCTAGCTCTTAAAAAATATGAAAAAGAAAAATTGACATAATTTATCAATAATACCAAATCAATAGAATATGTTCGAATGATATTTGCAAAATTTTCAATAGTGAAATAGAAATATGTCTAATTTAAATCAAATTGTGGATTTTTGTTCAGGTATTTTTGAAAATTTCTGTTCGGTTTGGGTTCGAGTTTTTTTGGGTTTAGTTCAGGGTTTTCGGGATTTCTTGGATTTTGGGTTTAGACATATTAAAATTTGTTGGGTATTTTAAAAATTTTATTAGGGTTTTAGGTCGGGTTCGAGTTTCGGGTGAAAAATTTTCGAGTTTTTTTTTATTCTGTTCAGGGTTATAGGGATTTTTTGGATTTCGGATTTTCGGGTTTAGAAATATTAAAAAGGTTTGGATTTTTTTTTAAAAATTTGACTAGGGTTTTTGGGTCGGGCTCGGATTTAGGATTTAGATTTTCTTCACAAAACCGCATAATCACACTGCGCGTTTGCGCGGGTCCTCTACTAGTATATATATAGTTGGTGTCATTCTATTATGCTGTTGTCACCTCAGGTGTCATTCTATTATGCAAAAGAGATACCTCCTAAATTCAGCTTTATTCCACGTGAGCCACCTTCTTTATTCCAGCTTTCAAATTTTTATTTCTACTAGGAGAGTACCCACGTTTTATTTTAGTTTACAATTTTTTATTTATTTTCCAATCGTTACAACTTAAGAAATATATGATCTTAAAATATAATTATAATATGAAAGAATACTCATCCACTATTACATATTTTATGCTTGTATAGAGTTATAACTCAAGTGATGATTTCTCTTGGCTGAATGTATTTGAATAAGCAGACAATACGTCATGTATATGTGATAGAAATAGAAGATAATATGAATTAGGATTGGATTATAAAAGAGTTGACAACAGAGTCTAACACACCTTACAAAATGCCACGGTAAAACATTGACACTACCAAAAATACAAACATTACATATATTTTAATTTCTCTTTCTATTTTGAACTCTCTTTGAATCCCCAAAACAACTTTGAATTTGTTGAAGTGATCGGAAATGGGAAGTGTCTCAATGTCCTCTCCCGAAATAAACACTTCTTCCAGCCTCGCCAGAAACGAAACACTTGCAGGAAAATAGAATAAGCGCCATTTTGAGATGCATCTTTATGACATATGAAACTAAAACGCAAGAAAGAAACCCTTATTCACTTGCCCGAAACTCAACCCAATTTAAACTCTAAAACGAAGATTAACGTATTCTTACAGCCAAACATAAATCAGTTTTCAAAATCTTAAAGGCAATTACCAGATATTCTTCTACTACTAACAACAAAAAACGATGCGGACATAAGACAAATGACTGGTCAAACTGAATAACTAAACCATGTAAAGTAGGAAGGAAAGTTAAAGAAGTAAAAATTGCAGAGCAGTTGGGGAAAACATACATTGCTTGGGCTAATAAACTAAAATTGCAGAGCCCTTGGGGTAGACATACATTGCTTGGGCTAATGAGAGTCGTATGTTTGAGAGAGACTTGTCATTTCCATTGATTTCAAGTCCCTCAAATAGACTCCACATCTACAACCAATATAACAAATAAACAATGATCCATATTTACTATTTACATTTCAATCCCATAGAAATCTCAATGATATTGTATTCAAACAGGGCTAAAGGGTTAAGAATGCCTGACTGATAAGCTTTGCCCCATGCCAAGCTGTGTCCACACCACAAGGAGGAGGGATAACTTTGACGCCATTGCATATTGATGAAGGAAGGTCGTCATGCAGTTCCCTCTCTAGCCTTTCTGTATACAGGTCAACAAATTTAACCATAGTCACGTCAGTCATATATCTTATAGGAAGATCTTTCAAGTTGTATAGAGGAAGAACTGGTTGTTTACTAATTGATGACATTTCAAAAGAAAAAACAAAGGAAGAGGTAATAGATTTGTACCTGCAAGTCCTGGTAAATAAGCGCTTCCTCCAGCCAGTACTACAGTCTTGAACCAGCTATCATCACCTGTAAGTCCTGCTGCTTTGCTTCGCAATGGTCCATACAGAGCGCGACTGCCTGCTGTAAACTCATTACTGGTCCATAAAGCGAGAGCCAGTGGAAACAAGAACGAGCTTGTTCAGAAATGTGCGATGGAGACAGAAGAAGCAGAGGTTTGGTTACTGTTGGATTCTTCAGGACGATGACGAATACGATTACGATGAGACCAAGGATGGAGACTATCGGCCAAAGTTGAATCGCCGTTTCCGAGTTCGCCGTTACCGAGTTCGCTATAGCGAGAGAAATCAAGCGATTTGGAGGAAGAGATCTGGTTCGGATACGAGAACTCGGAAGCAGAGTTGTTTGTGACGACGATTGAGTTTCCGCGGAGGAGAGTTGGAAGCCGAGAGAGAGGTTTCATGAGACGGAGATCGGAGAGGGAAGAGTGTAACGGTGAGCCGCGTCGAAACGGGCAAAATTGTTCGAGTGAGAGGAGATGGGCAGAGATTTTTATAGATTACTAGATTAATCTTCATTCTGCCACTCACCTTCTGGGTTCGTTTCTCAGTGTCGATAAAACTGCTCTTGATTTCTCCAGAGAATCGATTCCTCACCCAATATGCAGGTAATAGATTTGGCAGCCAATACGTTCATCTCTATCTAATTCGCTCTATCCATTTGAATGAAGAGAACAAATAAAACGGATGAGGGTGTGAATCTTGATGTCAATGAAAGGGAGAGAGTGAATTTATATAAGCTAAGTGAAACCCTAAGTGAATGGATCGAGTTGATAATGGTAAATGGAGGCGATACAGCTTTTGGAGAGAGCGATTGAATGCTCCGAGGAATACTTTTTTGATTTTAAACGGATTGATTTCTAGATGGATTTCTTGAGTAAAAGGTTGGCTTCGGAGAAGACGAATGGTTGATGCCAAAATTGTTTGTTTGTTTTATTTTCGGAATGCCACGTGTCCCTCTCTACAGTGCTGACGTGTCAACACACTGAGGAGTGTTGGGCAACTTTTATAGTATAGGATTACTAGATTAAGGCCCGTGTATACGCGGGTATATTTTAAGATTTTATAATATGGAAAATATTAAACAAATTTGATCATTTTTAAACATAAAAAATATATATATTGAAAACCCGATAAAAAATATTTAAATAAAATAAGATTGGTAATACTTTTACATTTTTATTATAATTAATTTTTCTTTTGAATTTATGATATGATATGAAAAAATGAATTAATTTGTTTTACTATTCTTTTTATCCAAAAAGACTTAAGAGGGGCTTATTGAACTAATCATTTGGAAGGATTTCAAATACAAAGGATTTAAGGAACTTTTAAGGGATTTTTAAGATCTGAGTTGATTTGCAAAGTTTCTGTTTAGAAATTTGCAAAGTGATTAGGTGGGATTTCATGGTATTCGAAAAACAAAACAAAAAATTCAATTTTAATTGTTGTCCAGTATATTTCGTCAACATTATAAGAAAATAGGGAAAAATAATTTAATCATTAATTTATTCAAATTCCACCTTATAATGGAATTTGGATATATTTGTTTTTCACTACAAAATCTCTCACAAATCAATCATAACAGTTTTTGATAGATTTTGTTGATGAAATCCTGATTTTCCAATAAGGTGGGATTTTAAAGAATTTGTATAAATCATTAGTCCAATAACCTTGGATTTTGAATGACTTTTATAAATACTAGATCCTATAAGAGAGGATTTGGAAAAAAATTGAAATCCTTCCAAATCATTAGTTCAATAAGCCCCACTTAGACATATCTAAATCTGATCAATTGATTAATTAATCAAACTTTTATTATTCCATTCAAGAGATTTTAATTGATGAAATATTTATTTCAATTTTTTTACCTAACAAAAATTGAAAATCAAACTATTTAAAATTAGAATATCAATTATAATTTTTTAATATTAGTTAATTGCTTGATAATTATTTTGTTAGTTTTTATTTATATTTTTCTTTCTCAATTTTGTTTTTGCCTCAGACCATTATAAATACTATATATTGGTATTTTTCCTTTTCGAAATGGATTTTTTTTCCTTTTCTTAATAGATGTAACAAAAGAATTTAAATTATTTGTTTCCTGTTTTTTTATTACTTTTAATGGATATTATTTTTTTCATTTTAATTATTTGTTATCTGTTTTTCTAATTTTTAGTTAGTCTTATACATATTAATTTTTTATTATTTTTATTCCATGACACATGTTACGATCTTCATACTTCGAAATTTGTTTTTTTTTTCTAAAACACATGTCGCAATTTTGTCAGTTATAAAAATCCTATGTATCGCAAAACTTTCAAAAACATGATTTTTAAATTGGAGAAATATAATCAAAGGGATTTGATGAATTTGTTTTGATGAATTTATGATTGAGAAATCTTGACTCTCTTTTATAGGGTTCAAGTAACCTATTACATGCAGTTATAGGAAATTTAGTTTACATAACATATTCCATGTACAAATAGGATTTTATTTATTACATTATTTTGATTTTATTATTTGTTTGGATAATATTAATTTGATGAATGGGAAACCTTTCTCTATTAGGATATGACAAATATATTTTTATTTCTTTTAACTGTAATGGATTAATTTTTTAAAAACAATTTCCTTTATCTAAATTTTTTATTATTATTTTTTTTTTTCTCTAAGACATGTGTCACGATCTTAACGGACGTAACATTAAAAGTGACACATGTCGCGATCTTATAAATTATAAAAATCTATGTGTCGCAACCACGTCGTGCGCATCCAACTTTATATAATAAAAAATTGATGAATGGGAAACCTTTTTCTGTTTGGATATAACAAATATTATTTTTTCCTTTTTGATATAATATATTAAATTAAATTTCGTTTTTTTTAATTAACATTTTTCTGGAATTTTTTTTTTTAAGTTCTCTTTTTTTCCTAAGACACGTGTCACGATCTTAACGGACATAAACTTAAAAGTGACACATGTCGCGATCCTGAATTTTATAAAAATCCTACGTGTCGCAACCACGTCGTGCGCATCCAGCTTTATATAATAAGACTAGATTAATCAAAATTTAGTCTACGCGGGTTTATTTTTTTATTTTTTTAAATCATGGAAGAATATTAAACAAAATTTATCAATTTTAAAAATAAGAAAATAATATTAAAAACCCGATAAAAATCTCTAAATAAATATATGTAGTCTTTTACATTTTTATTTTGAATTCATGATATGAAATAGAAAGATTTACATGTGTCTAAATCTAATCGACTCATTATTTTATGAAACTTTGATTATTCCATGATGAAATCTTTATTTTTAATATTTTTTTACCTAACAAAACATGGAAAATTAAACTATTTAATATTAGAAGATCAGTCCATTATAAAATTTTTTTTTTAATATTATTTAGTTCCTTAATAATTATTTTGTTAGTTTTCTATTTATATTGTTTCTTTTTCAATTTTGTTTTTGCCTCTGACCATTATAAATTTTCATTTTCATTATTAGTTAGTTGTTTTAATATTATTTTGTTAGTTTATTTATTTATGTTACTACATTTTTCCAATTTTCTTGTGTTGACACATGTCATCACTTCATCAAATATTAGACACATGTATCGATCTAAAGTTAAGTATTCTTCATTGATATCTTTAACTTTTAAAGACATGAATTTTATTTCTTAATGAGAAAGAAACTTAAAAAATATAGCTTGTTATATTTCTTAATGAGAATATGTTTTTTTATTCCTTTTCTTATTGGATGTAACATTTTTTAATTATTTCTTCATGTTTTTCTGATTTTCGTTTTTTTCCTTTTCGTAATAGAATTATTTTTTATTTACTTCTCATAATGGATGTAATATTTTTTTCTTTTTAATTGTTTGTTTCCTGTTTTCTGATTTTTCCTAATGTACTAATAGGATTTTATTCAAATAATTTTAATTTCGATCCAATTGACCTAGAGTCAAATAATCTCCACTGTTCTCTTGAACTTTCAAAGACATGATTTTGAAATTAGAGAAAGAGAATCAAAGAGATTTTCTGAATTTGCTTTGATGAGTTTGTGAATGAGAAAAAGAGACTACAATAGCTCTCTTTTTATAGGGGGTTCATGTAACCAATTTCATACAATTTTAGGATATTTAGTTTACATACCTATTACATGTACTAATAGGATTTTTTTAAATAGGAGTTTATATAACTTATTCCATACAATTTTAGGATATTTAGTTTACATACTATTCCATATACTAATAGGAATTTTTTTATTACATTATTTTCATTTGATTATATAAAATTTCGTTTTTATTATAAGATATTTTTTTTATAATTCATGTAACCAATTTCATACAGTTTTAGGATATTTAGTTTACATACCTATTACATGTACTAATAGGATTTTTTTAAATAGGAGTTTATATAACCTATTCCATACAATTTTAGGATATTTAGTTTACATACCTATTCCATATAATAATAGGAATTGTTTATTAAATTATTTTCATTTGATTATATAAGATTTCGTTTTTTATTATAAGATATTAAAATTTTCCCTTTAAAATATTTTTTTTCCGAAAACATGTGTCATGATCTTAACGGATATAACATTAAAAGTGACACATGTTGTAATCCTATATTTTATAAAAATCTTATGTGTCGCAACCACATCGCGCGCATCCAACTTTATATAATAAGATACGATAAAAACATTTGTTAGATGAAAAAAAAATTAAAATTAATTGAGTGTTGGATTACTAATTGTTACTCTCTCTGTTTTACAAATAGTGTCATTTTAGAGTTTTGTTTTTGTTTTATAAAGAATGTCGTCACTTTACATTTTCAATGCAATTTTATTAATAAAAATCCAGTTTTAATCTTATTATATTCGTGTATTAATTAGAAAGAGAGAGTTGTTTAATGTATTAATTAAAGGGATAAAATATTTTTTTTATTGATTTTCTTAATATGTGTAAAAAAACTAGAATGACACTCTTTATGAAACAAAGGGAATATTAGTTTTATCAGACATTTATAAAGTAGTAACACAGTAAAGAACCAACGAAGGTGTACAGTAGAAATTAGGCCACAACATAACTTTGTTGGAAGAAACTGTCATTTCTTGCATGCTCAATGTCCCTCCTAATTCTTCCGGACTGATATATGAGCAAGACATCAAGATACTCGAGGAGTTTCGCGAGATGAAAACCTCGATTTTCCTGAATAACCTCACTCGCAAAGCCGTGGTTAGCTCGAGCGAGAGTTTGCAGATTGGTGCTTAGAATGTTTTGGAAGAAGGATTAGACAAGTATTGGAAGCCAGAGGAGAATGACAAGGAGTGATAATTTTACTTGGAGTTTAAAGATTTTGTTAGTTTCAATGTGTTGGAGATTCAAGAACCGATCTAAATGGGTCAGAGGATTCTTTATTCGGCTTCCCGAGGTTGTCGAGTCGCAGTTTTTGAAGCTTGTTGTGGACAAAGTGCTTATATCGTATCTTGGCATTATTTCCGTTTAGAGTAGAAGAAACTCATCAATCATAATAAAGAGGAAGGACATCCATAATGGAGAGTTTTGAAAAGAAAAAGAAAAATAAAAATGATGTGGCAATCAGAATTTGGAAAATCATTCTCGGAGAGTAGCGATAGAATTGACTAGGTTTGGACATAACCACCAACTTAAAATACCCGAAATACTATAACTGAACCAAATCGAAATATTCGAACCGAACTGAATCAAAAATATTAAAATACTCGATTGAGTTTTAAGGTTAAGTAACTTCGGATATCGGATAATACCTGAACCGAACCGATACAGACTCGAAATAACCAAAATTTGGAATTTATACTCATAATACATGTTTTATTCATATTTTCTATTTTGTAAGACTTTGATTTTCGGGTAATATATGAATACTTTGGGTACTTTTTGGGGATAGTTTGCGTATAGGGTAGTTTCAAGTTTGGAATTAGGAAATAAGTTGGGTGTAGTTTTTAATTGGGAAAGTAGGAGAGAGAAGGTTACTTTCATACTTCCATGACCGAAATCGCCCTGTGTGGGAGAGAGACAGACCAATGAGAGAGAAGCAGAAGTGGTCCCAGATGGACCCATCCCCCAAACATACGCGTTGACGCGCCTGTGTAGCCGAGAGTGGACGACGCGTGGGCCCGGAATCCGGTCTCAGAAAAAGTGGGTAGTTTGAAACTTAAAAGCGAGTAGTTTGACGGAATGGGTGAACAAATTGAAGTTTGATGCAATGAAACGAGTGGAAACAGGTAATTACAGGCGTGGAATCATGAACTCGTTTCCGGAGCTGATTAGATCGGGATAGAATCATGTTCGCACAGACGGAATGATACCCGAAGACCGCAAATGTCGGATAAGAGAAGGGAACCATTGTTGGTTTCCGCTGGTTCAGTAACGCCGGTTGGTGGCCGGTTAGGTTATAGTTGTTAAGGACGGTATGAGTTAAGGCGGTTAAACACTCTGGTTACGCATTCGGTTTACGGAAAAATAATGTCAAAATAAAGTGAAATAAAATAATACCAGAACATAATTTATGTGGGCTATATTTTCCCTTTTCTTAACGGGCCGAACATTGGTCCGCACTATTTATCAGATATGGCGGGAAACAACAACTATTTTATATGATGTGGCTAATATGTGTGACACATGTCGGTCGGACGAATATTGTTCGTTCTCTATTTAGATAGTAAAGTGTTCAGTGATGAACTTTACCAATTAGCGGGAAACGAAGGTAGACATAAACCCTCTGGAGCTCTCGTACGCGTTGGAGCAGAAATGATTGGCCCTAGTGCGGCGATGGCAAAACTGGCGGAATCGGGCGAAGACGCAGGTAAATTATTAGTTCTTACTGTGTACACCTTCTGTAGGATAAATGTGGTGATTAATAGCCGAGTACGCAGGTAAGAACGACGGAACAATTGTCGTAATTATTGGCCGGTGGATACTGTAGTGGAACGGCCAATGGGATTTCAAGATTGATCTGTCGAGAATGGGGAGAAGTATAAAGTTGTCTTCCATCGGGTCAGTTGACGTGCTTCGATCGAGAGTCGCTTTGTTGTACGGATTTCAGGCATCTCCCGTTTCTATAGAGCTGTCGTACTGGATTGAAGATCCTATTGCCGAGCTGAATGGTAAAGGGACACAACCTGTCCAAATCGTGTGCGACAAAGACGTTAGAGTTTTGAAGGCCCTTCTGTCAACATTTTCGTCACAGTCAGGGAAAGAGTCGGAGAGTCATTGGTTATTTTGGGTCCAAAGGAAGGTATTGCAGCCGAAATAATGAGGAGAAGAGATTGCCCACAGATAAGCGAAGGAAAGAGAGTGGCGCAAAACGTTCTGCAAATGGAGTCGGGGTTGAAATGGAACTGACCGTAGACGAAATCATCGTTAGAGACGCAAAGGCTTTTGAGGCGGATATGGAAAGAAAGGCTAAGTAATGAGGAGTAGAGATTGCCCACCAATAAGCGAAGGAAAGCGAGGTGGCGAAGAATGTTCTGCAAATGGATTCGGGGTTGAAAGGGAATTGACCGTAGAGGAAATCATCGTTAGAGACGCAGAGGCATTTGAGGCGGATATGGAAAGAAAGGCTAAGATGACCGCAATTGAAACCGCCGGAGTGCGTGGGATTGATAGCAGTAGCAAAACAGGGAAAGGCGTTCAAGTTCAAATTGCGAAAGGACCGTCAGAAGAGGTCGTAGTGGAAGGCGTGGATGAGAAAGAGAAAGGACCGTCAGAAGAGGTCGTAGTGGAAGGCGTGGATGAGAAAGAGAAAGAGGAGAACGAAGAGAAGAGGTTGAAGATACCGAGGATGACGAGGAAGATGAAGACGAAGATGATGAAGAAGATGACTATGGTTCTGACAATGAAGGAGACGGAGATACTGATGGACCAGACGATGACGATGATGAGCCGTGGCACAGCGATGGAGTTGAGTACGATTGGGACCGTTGGGACCAGTTTGTCAGAAATGACGGGAAGAGATCGGCTGACGATGATGATTTTGTGGATGAGCCACCACATTTTTCGTCGAGGTATCACAGTTTACCGAGAAGCGGGAAATCCGCACCTTCGAAGGAGTAATTGAAGATTTTAATTTTCATAATACCGAAGACAAGGCGCATCAAACGCCGACTAATGTAACACCTCCGATAGTTAATCCGGATGCCATCTAGCGGAGCGTACACTTTCCTTACTACTCCTTCGAAGACGAAGGAACCATATTTGGTTGGTAAGGATGTAATGATGGACCCGGCCGCTTTAGATGATCAAACGTCCGTAATGGCTGCTCTGCTTGCCGACCCTTTAGGGAGTCATGAGGAAATATTTCTCGAAACCCCTCCACAGAAGGAGAACACGAGAAGGAAACTGGCCGACGCTATGCACTACAATGTTGGCGAGGAATTTACGGATCCAGCTCCTAATCGTTGTTCTGGCATCGACGCAGGTTTACCGAAAATTGACGAAGTGATTGGATTGAGGAAAGGGCTTCGGATGGTTGATCATTATGGTTATGAAGATATCGGTCCTATTTACAACGATATGGCAAGCGACTCGTTGAGGTTGGCCGAAATTGATCTGACATACGAGGATGGTTCCATCTACATTGGTAGGTTGTTCAAAAACAAAGAGCATTTCAAAATAACGCTTGCTATACACGCCCTGAAGAAGATGTTTAGGTTTAAATATCATCGGCATGAAAAGTGCTATACTGTCGCCACTTGCATTAATCCGGTGTGATTGGAGAGTAACCGCAGTAATCTTGGGAAATCGCAAATGTATGATGTCAGAAAGGCGAATCTCAAACATACTTGCGACGCGGACAGCCGACGGACGTTCTCTAAGCACGCATCGTCGAAGGTGATAGCAGCACTTCTGAGAACCAAGTACGAAACTACTGTCGGGCCACGTCCTAAGGATTTACCGTACTCGATTCTGAGAGAGCATCACATTAATGCCTCTTACTGGAAATGCTGGAAAGCGAAAGAATTGGCAATTGCATCTGCGCATGGAACAGAGGAAAGCTCCTACAAGTTGCTACCACTGTACCTATACTTACTGAAGTGTGCAAATCCAGGGAGCATTACACATCTACATACCGAGGTTGATGAAAAGGGTGCAACAAGGTTTAAGTATGCGTTTATGGCGCTGAAGGCATGCGTGGATGGATGGAAGCACTTGAGGAAAATTCTCGTCGTGGATGGAACTCATATGTTTGGGAAGTACAGGGGATGTCTCTTGACGGCCAGCGGTCAGGACGCCAATTTTCAAGTATTCCCTATAGCGTTTGCCGTGGTTGATAGCGAAAACGACCTGTCCTGCTCTTGGTTTTTCGAGAAGTTAGGTGATATCATTGACGACAGTTCTGAACTGGCGATAATTTCTGATAGAAGCCCATCAATCAAGAGCGCGATACGGAAATGGTTTCCAAATTCCCACCACGGAACATGCCTTACCCACCTGACAAGGAACGTCGACGACCACTACCATCGTAGACATCAGAGAGCGCTAGTCCAACAGGCTGGAGAGGCTTTTACGGTGGCCAAATTCAAGAAGTATTACAGTATGCTGAAGGAGGTGGATATAGCATGTTGGAGGTACATGGAGAAAATTGAAGTTTCACAGTGGACACGGGCTTATTTTCCCGGAAACAGATATAATTTGATGTCTAGCAACATTGCAGAAGCCCTCAACGCCGCATTACTCCCTGCGAGGGAGAGCCCTATCGTCGCCTTGTTTGAATTCATTCGTAGCAATGCTGTGCAGATGGTTTGAGAGCAGGAGACAGAAAATAGAGAAAATGCATGGCGACATACCAGAGGAAGTGGATAAGGAGCTGTCGTTAAATATGGAGCAATCCGCAGGATTGCCGGCTGTGCGAGTTGGTGCGTGGACTTTCGAGGTAGTGGGTGCATCCGGAGCACACTACTCTGTGGATCTCCAGAAAAGGACGTGTACATGCCTCGAATTTCAGTGTCTTGAATACCATGTCGGCACGCAATTTCTGCTGCCACAGTTGATGGACGACATTCACAAGAAGCCAACATGGTTATCCTCAATATCATGTATCACATTCCCCATCCCTGATCCAGACAATGTTGATGTTCCCCAGTATATTCTCGACCTACCGGAGACCATGTTCCCGAAGTTGAAGCGACCTCCTGGAAGGCCAGCGAAGAAAAGGAAAAGGTCCGCTGGTGAATACCCGGTTCCGGAAGGCGTAAGCACCATAACTGCTGGACATTAAATTTTGTTGTCATGCAATATTGGCCATTGTCTAACCCTATTTTTGTAAACGGTTTTAGGGTACGGCGAAAAAGAAGAAACACAACAAGTGTAGTATATGCCACAAAGGCGGGCATAACCGGAGGTCGTGCAAGGAACCACTCGACTGAGGAGAAGAAAAGGACCCTTCTCGGCGGTAACATTAATGCGCCCCGAAGACACTATCAAGTTCGCATACCCTTTCTGTTGCATTTTGCATTTGGCATTTTGCATTCCTCTGTTGCAATTTGTGACGGGATGATAACGATTTCTATTGTAAGGTAACATTGCATTTGGTTGTTTATGTGTTCGTTTTGCTAAAACTATGATGTCGTCGGATTACTTACTTATTGAATAGCATGTCCCGTTGATTTACGGTCTCTGAATGGTTAGTCAACGTTTAAATGAGTCTGGTTTTGCAAAGGTGTACGTTTGTTGGACAACGGTGCAAATATAGTAAATTAGGCAAATTGGAGTTTTAGTACAAGGTAAACTCCGCCGACCTAAACATAATACTGATGAAACAACTGGTGTACGAAACATAAAACTGGTGTACGAAACATAAACTGAAACATAAACTGGTGTACGAAACAACTTGCCCGTCAACATCCGAAATAAGCCATGAATACAAGGTAGAGGCAAAAGACTTAGCCACTAATATGACCTATTTCCATGATGATGAACCACTAACCGAAAGTGATGAATAAACACACGCGAAACGCAAGAGCGTACATGTAGCAGTTGCTGCATTCATGCTGGAAGACATGTTCACCCGCGCACTCCGGCAGCTTGATGAAGTCGTCGTCGGGATATGAAAGTGATTCATGTGCGATCCTGGGGTATATGTGGGGTTCGCAGCGGAAAATGTTACGCACGATCTCATCACCAAACTGTTGAGCCCGAGGGTCCTCGAGGGAAAAAGTTTAATGAACATCTGAAACATCTCACTCGCCTTTTTTTTCTCACCTTTGCAAACAAAAAAAATTGCGGCTGTTAGGGAGGCCATCGGGGATCTACCGGCGATAGAAGACTAGCCGTTAACGCAGCCATGAAAATCGCCTCCGTTGACAAGGCGGTCTAGCGAATCGTAGTATATGGCTTGCGGATTCCTCTCCCGTAGACATGCTTCGAAGAAGCGGCGTGCCCTTCCGTTTTCCCAAAGCATCCACCTGGCGCGATCGAAGAAAAGGGGGCTTAAATTGCATGCTCGGAGAACATTGGTAGAGTATACAAGCTTCTTAGATCTCGGACCCGCCCGTACAAAGGAGGCGAGGAATGCGTAGGACTCCCTTCCACATATCTCGATGATTTTGGAGAGAAGGTCGTCTGGTAGATCCCCAACAAAGGAATCGCAAATGTATGTAGATGTCATCTTCGATTTTGTTGGTTCAACGCGAGATATCCGCAGAGAGTCGATGTCTCTAGATCTCACAGTGGATTCGTTTTGAAGACCACTGTTGTTTCCCAGATCTGTGCTTATTTACGGAGTTTATATTTGTATTTTATTAATAGCTCAGACGTGGAGATACTTTGTCCATGCGATGTTTGCAAAAATAGTATTATACTACCGCTTGTCCACGTGTCATAACTCCCCTCCGCGGCAATTATCCCATTATTAACGAATTTTTTAAATGCATTTATTATATATGCCGACTGCAAGACCAACCAAACCGGATCCAATCAAACCGTCACTTGATTTTCTATCATAACCGTCCCCATGTAAATGTAGTAACTTTTCGAGAAACAACCGTAGTCAGATCTGGTCTTCAACTATTCCCTTGCTTCTTAGAGAGAGGTAAATTGGAGAATCACGAAGGATTGCGGCAACGGATCAATTGTGATTTCGAATACCCACATGACGAAAGATTCCGTAATGCTCCCTCTGGAATCAACCGGTAACCGAGGAGACGATATTGCGAAGGAGGCAGTAGCTGTAAAGGATAACAGCCGGCGCTCGAAATCCGTCGAGAACGACGATGAGGGTCCATCCACATCGAAGGGTCCATCCACATCGACGATTCCGCCAATCTATCCCGGTGAAAGTAAGAAACCTATCTCTTTCTTTCGATTACTAGTTAGAGTCGGTTGATTACAGTCGGGAATGGAATACACAGAAGTTCTGTCACAATTGAAAGTATGTAAAATCCCTTTTCCCAGGTAGCGAAGGAAACAGAAACGTCCCGGAATCGACTGGGGAACGTAATCTGGCTGAAACCCTCCCAAATAGGGTTTTCGCTGTGGATTGCTATCCAGAGCCAGGGCGGATGAACATATATGCGAAAGCCAAATTCATTGGACGCGTCGCCGCAGCATTAGCCGGAACACCGGCCCTGAAAACAATTCTCGATTCTCAGTTCAAGCACCTGTTCATGTTGCCTGTTCGTAGATGTTCTAATTCCGGGAAACTCATCCACGCAATACTGGCGAGGCAGCTGGTAACGAAGAGGAAATACGAGATCTGGTCGGTCTTTGGAGGGAAGCCATTCAGGTTCTCCATCCGGGAATTCGAACGTGTAACGGGTTTGGTGTGCTCTAGACTTCCCAAAGGCCACACATATCCACTTGCAGTACCAAAGGAACGGTCGAGTACGTGGAAAGAGCTATTCGGAAGGAATTGTACACGCGTGACTGTGGAGGGAGCTCTGTCTAAGCTCAATGGGAAGGATATATCCGACCGTAAGCGGTTGTATCTGGCTCTGATCATTCTCGTTGACGGTGTCATCCTTGGCAACAAGCCACCGAATATCACACCCGCGTACGTGGATATGTTTGAAGATGTACAGAAACTTTCTACAATTCCCGTGGGGGCGGTTATCATTCCTTAGCACCCTATCCCGTTTCGGGCCAGCACCGCTGTCACCTTTAAATCCAAACCCTATTAAGGAACTAAAACAGAGGTTGAGGCAGCAAACCTCCGCATGCTACGGATTTCCATTATCACTGCAGCTGGTAGTTTTTGATGCCTTCCCACTACTGGTAGAGAAATTGCCGGCCCCGGAAGACACCGCCACTTTTTTGGAAGCGCCCTTCGCCTGCGATACCCCTATCGTTCTGTTGCAATCGGAGGATATCCTACATGTAGAGGAGAACCCTAACGTACGTATCACTAAGAACGTAATCTAATTCGCCCATGTATACGGTTGGTATTCGTTTAAATCATCTTCTGATATGACGTTCCACTCGTTTTCCATACAACTGACTGTTCGAGTGGACGTCACAGAAGGCGATAACGCAGACCTCGAGTGGGATGATGAGGTTCACGACGACGGAGTCGATAGGATTGTTCAGTTGCTCGGGGAGGTCATGCGTTCACCGAAGATGACTTCGTGGTGAGTGAATCTACAATGGCACAAGTTTCTCATCAGCCTCAGGAAGATAGATACTCAGTTGAGGCGAGAGTGAAAAGGTCGCCGGAACCGATGCCGGATAAACCAAAGGCGCCGGCTAAACCGGCCGGTAAGAAGAATTCACCTCAAACATTTCGCACCATCTCCGAGGTAAAAGATGAACTGAAAGAATGGATGGCTGACCAATTTCGTACTATGACGGAGGAACTGGTGGAAGCTATAAGACGTGGCGGCGGCGAGAGGTGCGTTTCCAAAGTAACCGAGCAGACCTCTGAAGGGGGATCTGAGATGCATCCGGAAAACAGGTCTGAAAACATCCGTGCAAATACAAATGGGCATTCTGAAGAAGGAGAGGACGTCCGATATATGGACGTAGCGGATGAGGATGTCTCTGCTGTGAACTTGTTGGGCCCGACTGGGAAGGAAGGTAAATCCCTTAGAAGGTCCGCTAGGCTTAAAAGAAAGGACAACTCAGTGGATGGTTCATCGGATCTCCGGTTGCTTGACGTCTCCCGTCAAATCACCGTCCCAAAAAAGAAACGGAAGGTATCGTTCATTCTCCCTACTGTTGCGGATGACAACCCTAATGATGAAGTTACTCCGACCCCTCATCCATTACGGGGAAATATTACAGCTGACGAAGTGGAAGCCCTTCGCGCACAGCAATAGGTCCAGGCTCAAATTTTAGTCATTGGACGTAATTACCCATATGTGTACGCTGTTCGTGATGAACTAAGATGATTATAAGACTAATTGCCCATTCCATTCCTTTCAGGTCCAGAACGAAGGTGGTTCATCCACGGATTCCAATGTTGACAGTCCGTCGACTCCTAACCCTCAGCTTACTGTGCACACCGACCAGATCGAAATAGGCTTCAGCACACCAGATGTCCAGATATACGAGGTCTCGTCACCAGAGGATAGTACACCTGAGGCGATCTCGCCGGAGGCCTCACATCAGCCCTTACCCGAGAAGCATACACCTCGTCGTGTCCCCGCTAATGTGCGTGGAAAAAAAACGTGTGGCGCACAAGTCTGACCGTCATAGGGGATCGTTCCTATGTGACCCAAGGGTTGTAGCTCTTTTTGCCAGTCGGACTAAGCCCGCGTACGCACCAACGCAATCGGTTGACCTGGGGGAGTGAAATTCATTCAGAACACTTCTAGAAGAGGACCGAGATAAGTAAGTCAAACAAATCCGGAAGATAGACCAGTTACGTTATATATTTTCCAACGACTTGATTTTGGGTTAAAACGCAGGTCATTCGAGATAATCAATGGGCAGGACGTCAAGAACAGTATCTTCCTCGAGATCGGAACGCCAACACATTGGATCAGAACAAGCGTAAGAGACAGTCGAAATTGAAACCCCTGACTTTGAGTTTTGTTTCGTTGTTCTAAGTATGCTAAATATTACATCGTACACAGCAAGTACAGATATGCTGGTACGGCGACGAGGCGACATTTTGCTGAAGGATAGAGCTGTTTTTCGTAGATCCTTTCTTCACTAGCTACATCGTCACATCGTATCCAACTTTCAAAGAAAGGGCTCTTAACATGGAGTGCGATTGGTCGCCAGTGGTTGAAAGATGCGTGACAGGAAGAGGAGGTCGAGCAGGCAGGCCGCTGAAATCGTGCTTCCTTAGGGACGTTGACCGGGTGTACACTGTCATGGATTGGGGACGGACTCATTGGGTGGGACTCGTAATCAATCTACTGTGCGCGAGTATTGAGATATACGACTCGTACACCCCCTTCGCCCCGTCAGACGCGGAAGTGGATCAGCACATGGAACCCCTGCTTGTAACATTGCCATGGGTTCTGAAGCGATACCTCAAAGATAAATTCTCCGGGACCATGTCTACAGCCCCGTACACTTGGACAAGACCCGACTCCATCTACCATAACGGTAGAAGTGGTGACTGCGGACCATGTGCACTGAAATATCTAGAGATGCATGCCGCGGGGGAAGGGGTTGAGCAAATGGCGAAACTGACAGATGCTGACGTCGACGCATTCCGCGCTAAGTACGCGATGGACACATACGAGGAGTTCATAGGCAACCCGGAGGTGGCTAACGGATGACTTTAATTTGTGGTTTGTTACATGTTGTCAGTACTTCGGGCGTTCCTTTGGAAAAAGTTCGAATGTTTAATTTTCATTGTATTTAAGGACGTTACGTAACATTTCGAGATTCAAAACTTCTTAGTATCTCGCCACAACTCCATCGGCAATACTATAACGCCTTATACATGCGAGTCAATGTCTTACATTATGCGGAACATGAAATTAAGGAACATTCCCGCTAACCAACCCATATAATAAAGTTTGAATTTTTCGCGCACTCGGCACCATACAAGAGGAGATCGATTACCGTTGCGTTCGACGAACATAATAACTGCCACATCTCTGGGGACGCGACTTTTCTCCCAATGTTCACGCACCCTCGCCTATTTATAGCCAATATTTTCATAATATCTGTCAAGCGCTAAAATAATTAGACCAGATGTATCCCCTTCTAGCCAGACTGGTGTACGCCGGAGAACATAAGTGTTTCCGTTACAAAATTTGATACGCAACGAGTGTGACAAATTTTGATATGCAGTGATGCACAACATGAGGTATGAAGACATGATCGTCGACGGGGAAGAATATTGCCGCTTTTGGCTCAATCCGGAGATACCGGGTATACCGGCATTACCAATGAGGTGAGGGGAACAACTTAAATGAGTGATACTTTCCTTCGTGTACAATCATGCTGCGTTGCGTTTCTGATTTTGTTCATCCATTACACGCAGAGTTGAAGGCGACCGGAGTACAGGAGAGCTCGCTGAAACTGTGGGCAGTTGGACTCCGTAGATGTAAAATCATAAGCATTTCGGTACCCATTAGTACGGAAAGTTGTTTCGATGCTGACGATTTTTTTCTCTTGATGCAAACCCATGTAATGACATAACGAAAAATCAAAATTTTCAGCAAATCAAGAGAAATTGAGTTTCTAATCCAAGTAATCACTAGATAAACTAATGAATTGAAGTATGCGCAAGCAATTTCACCTTTGAATAAGGGGTTTGGAATGCCCAATAAGTTTTGTGAAAAACTATTCAATTGTGAAATTAAACTTCAAATTAACTCTAAACCACCTAGGTTTCACCTAGCAAGTTCATTACAAGACTATAAGGATGCTAATTTCAAGTCTAGACAAGAGTTTAGACCAAACATGAAACTTATTAAGATTTTCGATCTTGCATAAACATAGAATTAGAGTTAGAAGACATACCTTATGTGTTGAGAAGTGAATAAGGTTAGCAAGAGCAAGTAATTTCCAATTTAGAGTTATGAACAGTAAAAGTTTTGAAATCAAAACTCTTAGAGTTCCTCTAATGGAGTTTAGGGTTTTGGAGAAGAAAGAGAGGTTCTTGTGGTTTTCAAGGGAAATGTGAAGTAAATAAGATCTAAATCCTATCAATTTTCCTTTTCAAATTCGAATTTTGATTGAAAACCGGTTTAAGTTGGTTTAGATTGGTTAAAACCGGTTTGAATTTAATGAAAAGGGGACTTACCTTGGCCTAGAAAAGTTTTGGGCCGATGGCCGATGGATTTTGTCGCGGTCGAGCGATTTGGTCGGCCAAATTCGGTTTTGGCCGAGAGAATTCGGCCGTGGCCGAGCGAATGTTTCCCGGATCGACCGGCACGGTCGGTCCGTTCCGATACAAAAATTTCGGCCGATCGCGATCGTTTCTTTCCCGGTTCGCGCGTGGCGCTCGAACGTTTTCTGTCGCGCAAGTAGAAATATCCGGCCGAGCACGGCTTATTCCTTCCCGGCTCGACCGTGACGGTCGGCCAGATTGGAATTTGCTCGGCCAAAATTCTCTTTTGCGCGTCCGCGGCCAATGTTTTGGCGCGGATTGTGTTTTCACACCTTTTTCTCCTTCTATCCTATCTTAAAACAAAGAAAACACAAAAGCAAAACAAAAACTAAGAAAATTAAAGAAAGAAAAGTAAAAGTACCTCATGGGTTGCCTCCCATGCAGCGCTTGTTTTAAGTCTTTAGCTTGACTGTAGGGCTTGGCGCTCAGGAGAAGATAGAGGCATCCTTGATCCTCCAAGTCTTTTCTCCTTGCAATGAGTATCTGGTGGGTGATTCACAGCTGGATAGACAATCTCTCCATGAATGTCCCTTGGCACTACTGCCTTAGGAAAAAGCTTTAGAGTTCTTGTCACTCTCTCCTTGAATCCTTCTAGATTCTCATCAATAAGCTCCTCTGGGAATAGAAGCTTCATGTTGCGGCCAGACCTAGGTTTTCTAACCTTCTTTCTTGGCTTGGCCTCATCTTCAATCTTGGTTGATCCCTTGGGCGGTTTTGGTGTAGGGGCCTTAGTCTTACTCCTTGCTTGTTTGGCAAGCTGCTTGGGCTTAGGAATGGGATCTTCCTTGATTGTTTCTTCAGTTTCTCCTTCTTGGGGTGGCTTCAAAGTAGCTTTCTCCTCTTGGACCATGTCAACAAAAGAGTTCTTTGTTGAACACATAGGGAAGAACATACCCTTGTTCACCTTGTTGAAAGAGATTCTTTGATTGGGGAAATCAAATATGGCACCCACAGTAGACAGGAAAGGGGTTCCAAATATGAGAGGTCTATGACTACTCTCTCTCATTTCCACAATCTGGAAATCAGTAGGGATAGAGCAATTTCCAATCTGCACCATCACATTAGGCACAAAGCCATAGGGTGTTTGTGAGAATGAATCAGCATAGTTGATGGAGATGGATGATGGCTCTATCTTGGTGAGGCCTATCTTGTCAGCTATCCTCTTAGACATGATGTTCACAGCAAACTTTCCTGAGTTATCTGTCTTGGGGATAATCTTTGGGAAGAGTCTTCTCTTTCTAGCTCGATTGGACTCTCTCTCTGGGTAATTCTCTTCAGGCCAAATCATGCAATCAACAGTAGGTTTTGAAAGCATCCATTCTGGAACTTGGTCTTCAAATCTTTCTTCTATGGCAGCTGAGTTGCAAAAGGACTTCTTGGATTCAGCTTCCTGTCTCTTAACAGCTTCCATAGTTTGAGTGACTTGAGTCTCTAGTTTCTTCACATGAGTGGCAACAGCATCATACTTGGTGTTGAGATTGCTGAACAAAGTGTCCATCTTCTCATACATCTCTTTAGTGTTTCTCTTCTGGCCATCCATGATCTGTTGGAGGATTCCTTCAAATCTCCCACCTTGTTGGTTTGGAGGAGCTTGATTTGGTGAAGAAGCATATGGCTCCTTGGGCGGATATGATGATCTCTGCTCATATCCTTGCCTTGGCTGAAATTGACTTCCTTGAGATTGGTAAGGAGGTCTTTGTTGTTGTGGATACCTTGGAGGATACACTTGGTCTTGAGGATTCTCCACATTGGGGTTTCTATAAGACATGTTGGGATTTGGGCGATAGCTTGGATTGTATCCCTTGTTCCCATAGTTTCCAATGTAGTTCACATCTTCTTCATTGGCTTCATTAGAGAATCTCCCATGCATTCTCTTGATGAATCTTCATTAGCATCACTCATCCCTTCTATTGCATTGATATGCTTGAGCTGTCCCTTAAGAACTTGAGCCATCATGTTCTTGAGTTCAGTCATTTGAAAAGAATCAGGGGAGCTAGTAGTGGTGCGGCTTGAGCGGTCATAATCAGGACAGTTGTTACAATCACTAGCTGCAAGATTCTCAATAAGAACCTTAGCTTCATCAACAGTCTTGGTCATGAAGTTTCCATTGCTTGCTGTATCCAATGAAAGCTTGTACTTGTGGTCAATGCCACGATAGAAGATGTTCCATAGGTTTCCCTCATTGAAACCATGATTAGGGCAGTCCCTAATGTACTCCTTGAATCGATCTAGCGCCTCATAGAAAGACTCATTGTTGCCTTGGCGAAAGTGGAGATCTTGTTTCTCACAGAAATTGATCTCTGTTTGGTGTAGAAGTGGTTGATGAATGCAGCCTTGTACTCATCCCAAGTGGTGATGGAGTGAGCTGGCAGAGACTTCAACCATCTTGAAGCTTTGTCGCCAAGAGAGAATGAAAAGAGCTTGCACTTAAGGTAGTCAGCAGAGACTCCATTGGATCTTGTAGTGCTGCAAATTTCTTCAAAGTTTTCTATGTGATCAAGAGGGTGCTCAGCTGGAAGTCCATTGAATTGGTTCTGTCTAACCAATGCAATGATCTGAGGCTTGATCTCATAGTCATTCCTTGCAGGTGGTGGTGGATGGATAGGGTTTCTATCCATGAAGAAAGCATCGGCAGAGTCATAGTCTCCGATTGTAGGTGCTCCAGCTTGGGGTTGTGCGTTCACATCTCCAGCAGGGTCTTGTGGATTAGGAGGAGGAGGTGGATCTCTTCCTTCTTCTTGAGCGCGCGCCACTTCAGCGGCGTGAGCGCGAGCTGCTTCGTCGGCCATCTCTTGGGCTTTCTGCTTCCTAAGTTGCTTCTCAAGCTTGTCTATCTCTGGATGTTCAACTAGGTTGTCCTTGTTGGACCTCCTAGTCATGCACCTGAAAAGAGTCTTGGAAACAAGTTAAACTAAAAGGGAAAAACAAAAACAAAAGTAAAAATCAAAGAAAAGGAAATCAAAAACTGAAAATTCAAAAGCAAAAGAAAAGTAAAACAGGAAAAGGTTCTAGACTAGATCCTAGTCGAGTTCCAAAGGTACTGCTGCAGTCCCCGGCAACGGCGCCAAAAACTTGATGCGGAGTCAGGTTTTACCAAACTCCTAGACCTCTGCAAGTGCACAGATCGCGGAAGTATGGGTATCGAACACAAGGACTGGCTATTGAGTACACTTTGAAACTATGGATTTTGGATCAAGCTAAAACAAAAGTATGATTGAGGTTGTAATGGTGAACCGAACTAGCAAGTATAACGAGGTTGTAAGCAATAAAGGAAAAGCGCTAGGTCATAGGGGCTATCGCAGAGAAGCAAGCAATGATCAATGAAACAATGATAGATTAATTGATTAGGGATATTGGGATATTAAGAACCATCTAGAACACAGATCACGAATATAAAACCATTCCACTTTCGAGGCTCCGGCTCCTTTGCTAATCTACCTAGTCGCTAAACTTTTGGTATGTCCCTAGGTGATTAGATCAAGCATTAGAATGAATAGGTTCTGATACAGTTCACTAGATATAGATAGATCAACTTTCGCAGTCTAAGAAACCTAGCTTGTCAAAGAATATGTCCGGCGAATGATACAGCACTGTCGAGGCTCAAATCAACCTAAGATCGGATTACTAGATGCGCGGTAAAGCAATCAGCATTAGTTAAGTGCACAAGACGAGACAAAGACTCTAATATAATCCCTAGCTAATCATTGAAATCAAAGATCATGCAAGCAACTCATTGAATAGTAACCCTAGCAACCTAACTAGTGGATTACTCAGACATGATCAAAGCAAACACACATAGAGATGAAGAAAACATGATTGCAATAAAACTTAGAGTAGGAAATCGAAATACAGGGCGGCTCTCTTTCTCAAGAGGCTAAAAATCCATATATATAGTGCTAGGTCTTTCTAGAGGCGGCTAGGGTTAAGCCGGGCTTGAAAACATAAGTTTGGGCTTCAAAAAGGGCTTCGGGTCGACCGCGGCGTTGGGACGGTCGTGCGGGACGATCGGCCGGACAATCGGGTATGTGGCCGAGTCGGAACGGTCGGGGTCGGACGGACGCGTGGTCGGCCGCTGTGGTCGGACGGGTGAAATTGGCCGATGAAATCTCGGCCGGACGCGGGACGTAGTTTCCCGGGTCGGACGGCGCATCGGCGTGGTACGCGGATGAGTTGCGCGGCCGCGAGGCGTTACTCCCGGCTCGCGCGTTTGGTCGTGCGCGGTCGTGGCGTGGCGTGGCCGACCGCGGGCAATAGTTTCCCGGGTCGTGATTGCGCGCGGCCGAACGGTTTTGGACTTTGGCCGAGACTTCAGACGGACGGACGAGATTTGGCCGAGCGCGGAACATTCGTTCCTCGGCCAGCCGGACTGCGCGGTTGGGCGCTGATTCTCGATAGAGCCGTCTGGACAGTCTTCACTCTTTTGGTTGTAACTCCTTTTCTACTCATCCAAATTAGGCCATTCCAATTGCGTTGGAAAGTTAACTCAATCAGAGCACGCAGGGAACTGGTCTTGATGAAATCCATTGAGTAGATCTTTTTCTGGGCCCTCTTAAAGTTGGTGCTTGTGCATGGAGCTGCTTGAAGTGCAAATCCTATGGTTTTGCTCCAAAATGCATCATTTCACCTGTTTAGACTCTAGACACTATAAACACAGTAAAACTACCTTTTTAGATAGAAAACCTGCCAAAAACCATTAGAAAACAATGCTAAAACAGTATAAAAAGTGGGTAAATTAGAGGTATACCAGTCTCCGATCCCGATTTAAGTCTAACAGCAACTTCGTTTTACAGGGATCGAAGATCCATGCAGCCGTCAATGGTCCAGCTTATGGAACTTTCGAGGACGTTCCCGAAGGAGCGTGGATACAAATCGCCGGCGCTGTTATCTCGAGCGCAAATTGGAAAGATCCGAACCATTTCTTATCCACGCACATGTCAATGCTCATCATCCCGTCAACGGCACCTGCAGTCCAATCCCTCCGTTGTCGGACCACCACTTCTTCAATTTCACTTCCTTCGAAGATGTGAAGTCGGGAATCTTCAATATTGCGTACCCAATTGGTAAACATTACGGGATTTCCCAAGTTAGATTAGATTAGAACTCTTGCTTCATTCTGGGCTTTTGGGTTTAAACTCCACTGTCAATTTCAGATTTATCGGGACTATCCACACCGTCGGGAAGTTATCGCCGATGAAGAATAGCGCTGGGGCGGAAAGGTCAATCCCTTTCACCATCACGAACGCCAGGTTATAATTCCCTCTATATCCGCTTTTATGTTTTAGTTCATTTCTTGATTCCATGATTTATTGACTTTGGAGAAACCTATCCAGAAACGTCGAACTCTACTGTATTGCCTATGGAAGAGTGGCTGAGGAGTTCTCATACCAGTGGTTACGTCCTCATGGAGCGGTTGTCCGCTGTATCCTAAGTGAGTGGAGGGTCTCGCGTTCCAGAGGTAAGTGTACTTCTTAATTGGTAGTGGTAATTTCATTTCGGCTGGTGTACGCCGAAGAACATAAGTAGTTTGAACACGGTTCATGATTTACTTCGTTATAGTGATGCACAGCTTGAGTTACGAAGACATCATCGTCGACGGTGGAGAATACTGCCGCTTTTGGTTCGATCCTGATATGCCTGGCCTCCCCCCACTGGTGCGCAGGTCAAGGGAAACTAAATTATGCGTGTTTATGTCCATTACTACATTCGTGATTATCCCTTTGCTAAAACTTATGCGTGTTCATGTCCTAAACCTCCAGGAATAAAGGAGAGAATGCAAATTTCTCGGAGGTGGTGGAAATGGGAGACAATTCTTCGGCATAAAGGCAGTAGTATGATGATGATGTTTATGTTATTTCTCCTTTCCTCCTCAAACATTCCTCTTCCCTCCTCAAACTTAAACTTATTTCTTTGCTGTGACATTGTTAAAGATGTTTATCTTTTATTTAATCATAGCCTTGTGTGTTATGCTCCGTTTTATTCGTAGGTCTTTATCTATTATGTAATCGTATTATGCTCGTATTAATCTTATTATTACGAGCTAGTCCTCCGTATACATTACTTATGGTCCGTATTTAATCGTAGGTGTTTAGCTATAATTTAATCGTAAGTGTTTACCTATTGTTAAAGATGTTTAACTTATTCTCCGTATTAATCGTAAGTGTTTAGCTATATTTTAATCGCATTAATTTGTATTAATCGTAACAGATCCACCTAGACGATTTTGTGTTATAATCAACCAGAAATTGTAATTCCATAACTTATAGCTGCAGCTTTGCGTACATAGTACCGATTGTCAACACCAAAAAGTTAGTAAGAAAGGTAGAATGCAAGCGAGAGTAATAGACTATTTCTAAACATTCGCATACTCATATTTAACCGGAAAATATAAAAGTGTCAAACGCCGTCCACCCGTCCGGAAAAACGAAATTCGGAAGAATCACGGAAGCATTCCGCATATCAACTTCGAACACCAGTGAATGTAGCACATGTTGCAGTACCTCTCTCCGTAGCCGCAATCCTCTGACACGCATTCCGGCTTCTGAACGAACTCGTCGTCTGGGTAGAGGAAGCTATACTCCAGTGAGCTGCCGTATGGAGGGTTAAACCAGAAAATGTCCTCCTTGACGGCGTCTCCGATAAGCCTCGCATATTCTGAGTGGAGAGGTGCATAATGTGAGGTGAACTCCCGGAACAATTGACTCGCTTGTGCAGTCTCCCCTAAGCAGACGCAAAGCATTGCAGCCGCAAGAGTAGCTCTCGGATCCGACGGGATTATAGCTTCTAAGAGGTAAGTAGCGCCGTATACCTCGCCATCGTGAATCGCTATACGCAACCGTTCGAAATACACAACTTCGAGATTAAGCTGAGCAAGACTCTTTTCCCAGAATATCCGGCATCTTCCTCTGGGTTCGAAGTCCCTGTAGTTCTTCCAGAACATTGGAAATACGTTGACGGTTGAGAGAACTTTCTTGGAGAAAACCATCTCGTTTGTTCCCTTTCCTGCGCGGATGAATCCTCCGAGGCGCGCATAGTCATCAGCCGCAACCGTTTCAATTATTCTCCTAAGAATATCATCCGGTAAATCAGGGTTCTTCATTGCGACCTCGAGTAAGAAACCGGAAACTGTGGTGGATCACCGAACCAAGAATAAGGAGAATATTTTGTTTCGTGGCCGGTTAACCCCTTTAAATCATAAAATAGCCTAACTCCTAACTACTGTTTTAATTGCGATAGTGGAGACATAGTGGATGGGACGTATATCTTCTGAGATGGGACGTATATCTTCCAAATATGGTAGTAATATCACCTCGGTTATCGTTTAGGAGGGTATTAACTGCTGCGTGTTTGAATTTCGAAAGGAAGCGTAATAAATTGATACATTCTAGAAAAGCGGGAAATATTTATCCCATACGCTAACTATCCCATTACATATTAGCTAGGGAAACACTTGATTTAAATGGTACATGGTGGACATATTAGGTGGCACATAGGCATTACGACATGCAATACATAGCTTATTAGTGGCTGACACGTACCATACTCCGATATTCTACAACTGGGCACAAACACGGTGAGCGACCCAGTAGAGAAAGCAAGTGTGACAGACTGGATCATGAACGGGGTCGTGATCGTACGCACACTCCGGCATCAGAGCCGGCGGAAATAGGAAAGAGTAACTAAAATATCCTCCGAAAGGTGGATGGAAGGACCCGACTTCTCTCACTATTTCCTGACCGATTCTTCTAGCCTTATCCGATACCAGGTGGTCATGTTTGGCATCAAAGCATTGGAAAAGATAACCTGCTTCGTCGGTGTCGCCGAGCAAGCAGTAGAAGAGGGCTGATGCAAGAGTTGACTTTCCATCGTCAGGAATGTTGGGTTCCATCAGGTTCAGTCCCCCTTCAAAGTCCCCACAGTGTATAATAAGTCGGAGGGCCTCGAAGTACGCGGCTTGTATATTACCTTCACGAAGACATCGCTCGAAAAAAGGACGACCCCTCAACCTCCGCATTCCTGGTATGAAATCCAACGGCTCTACACACAACGCAGTCAGATTGCATGTACGCAGAATCTCCGATGAGTATACAAGGCGGTTCGAGCGCTTGCCAGCTACAACGAAAGGGGTGAGAAATCGGTAGTCATCATCACCACACCTCTGCTTGATCTCCAACAAAATTTCGTCTGGCAGATCGGGTAACGTCATAACTACGGTCGACGAGGTCTGAAGATGAAGTAAGCGGTTCCGAATTGTGTCAGTATTATATAGACTAACTCATACTCGTGGAGGTAGTTGGGAACTCCAGCATTTACGCCAACGTCCACTCAGAAAATAACACTCTCAACTACTAAACCTGCATTAATTGACTTGCGAGTTATCTTCCATGAAGTGATATTTAACATTTAGCGAGCAAACTTTTCGTCGTTTATAATTACTTTTAGACAGGTGTTCTTCGTACATCGGTGTTTTCCAACATTGAATCCGATTTTTTACAACATACCACAAACTTCTAGTGCGCACGAATACATGTAACATAAGTGGCATTCGTGAGGGAAGACATGGTCATCCGCGCACTCCGGGAGGTAAACTACATCGTCATCGGGATACGAAAACGTCTCCATATAAGTATCGAGTCCAGGTGGATTCAGCATGACTATGTCCCACTTTATCTCATTTCCGAGAAATCTGGCCTTCTCTGAAACAAGACCGCCGTGGTTCGCCGAAAAACTCTTAAACAATACGCTAGCCTGTTCCCGATCTCCAGAACAGATTGCGAAAAATGCAGCTGCGAGGGTCGACTTACCATGTCCTTTGTCGTTACGGACCAACATCTCTATCCCAAGATTTATATCAACTGAGTGGATGGCGAGGCGTAGTCCTTCGAAGTACACGGCTTCCAAATTACCGACTTCGCAACACCTTTGGAATAAACGTCTAGCTCTCCCACCCGGCATGATGTCCTCGTGGTTTTCATAGATTAAATGTGTGAAGTTACATTTCAGAAGCACCTCCGCCGTCCCTGCGATGTTCCAGGTGCGCTTGCCGGCACGAAAAAATGGAGAAAGGTACGACACTTCGGCTTCAGCGAGAACCTTCATTATCTCCACCAATATACCGTCCGATATGAAGGGAAGAGTCATCGATTCAGCGAGAACCTTCATTATCGCCAACACTATAATCAGCTTCATAAATGGATAATTATTCCAATATATACCCGTCCCAGAGCGAGTGATGAACAATCCGCGAAGCATGGACGGTTGGAAAATTAATTTCGTATTTAATGCCGATGCTCTGTTTATTGTAAATTTGTTTGGAACGTACGTAGTCAACAGTGGTGTACAATCCCTACTCGTACGTAAAACTGAAAGCGTACACTAGCTTTTTCCGTTTTGTTGGGCCCACACTGAGGTCCCCTGGCTGATATAAACTCAACAGAATAGACAAAGCTCGCCAACTAACTAGGGAAATTTGTTGCGAGGGTATTGTGGGGCATGTTTTGCAAACATCCACAGGAGGCAATTCAGTTGTACGCGTACGCGTACACTATAGACTATAACAATGGTGGATTGATTCATTTAACACATCATTCATAAGGTACTGCCATATTCAAAGGGAAATCAACAACATGAAGAACTTAACTACACCATTAGATATGAATAAACATTAGGGTAATCGTCGAAACTAAAACATAAGTTCACAGCTTAGCAGCTGAAACGGAAAGGGAAGCAGTAAAACCAGACAACAATTTAATATGCGAACAGGGAAACTATCCTAGCTGTCGCCACAATGACAACTAAAACAGAGGACAACTTAGGCAGGTTAATTGATCCAACGAAAGATCGGATCGATCCATACCACTCGGGTGGCCCTTCAACATGACGTAGAAGAAGATTGGAGTCAGTGGCCCCAGTGACGTTCGCACTAATTCTCGCCACAGCCTCATCCTTCAACCTTTTGTAGTACTCCATCTCCGTCTTCAGCGCGCGGATCCGGTTCCTCGCTTTAATCAGCGCTCGTTTCTGCCATCCATGGGGTGGCTCGTTGTCAACCCAGCTAAAGTAATCACAGCCACGCTCGAATCGCGAGTTCATTATATGACACTTGTAGAACTCGCGACCATGGTTCTGGTCCGTCCACGAAGTCAGTACTATCGGGGATTCAAGACATCGGCAGAGAGGTGACCCCGTCCACCTTGTCAATTGGGCATCGCCAGCGGAGGAAGATGAATTGGACTCCATGTCTGTATGCTTGTGAAATGAGACCAAATCTAGAGCGTATATGACTGGTGGGGATAGTGGTTTTCACCGTACACGTGTCATTGCCCTCAAAATCATTTTTTCCCCCGAAAGCTTTAAGTTGATTTGACATGTTGACTTACGTTTTTCCATTCAAATTGGGCGAGTGTTTTACAGCTGTTCGGCATAAATAATATTATAATAATAATATTATTTGGAAAACTCTGGCCCACATTCCTCGATTTATGCCTCCTACATCAAATTCTGTCTGATGCACTACAAAAACTACTATTGAAACAGTACGATTTTTGGCCTGGGTGTAACAACGTCGCATACAGGATAGTTACATTATTGCAGTTCGCCAATTCAAATCCACACAGGAAGCTCAGTCAGGCTAAACAACATAATCCTAAAACAAAAACATTATCCTAAAACAAAAATGCGCTGCATAGAGAAACGGGTTATGAAATATTTCGTTGCATATTGTACTCATTATATCAGTTTCAGATATAACACATAACATCTACGAAGACTAAAATCCAATCTCGAAGTTTCCTATACACTAAATGCTTTGCATACAGAAAGGGGGTCATAAGATTTCGTTCGCCCAGCGAAGTTCCCGATAGTGTAAACAAGCACCACACATATTATACTATTAATTGAAGATTCAGGATATGAGATATAACATATGGCATCTACGAACGCAAGTCTGACGAAATAAGTAACAAAGTCGTGTAGGAAACGGTAACAAAGGTAAAAACACAAACAGAGTTCGACAGGATGATTAATAGTCGATTTCAAATATATTTGTAAATCGTATCATTTGTTTGCTACGTTTGCTTTCCCCACGAACTCCTCGTACAGTCCATAGCGTATTTCTCACGAAACCTATCCACATCCTGATCAGTCACCGTAGACATTTCTTCGTGAAGCCTGTGTGCGTGCATCTCTAGGAACTTCGCCGCGCAAGGTCCACAATCACCAGCCCTAGTGTTTTGATACAGACCACCGGTCCTCGCCCACCCGTATGCATGGTGGATGTGCTTAGCACATTGGGTCCATGTAACGCTTCAATATCCAAGGCATTGACTGAACGACCGGTTCCATGTACGCTTCGACCACAGCTTCTTTATGGTTGTAGTCGACGTACGGGTCAAGTACTTCCACATAACTTCCGGGAATGTCTATCACCAAACCAACCCAGTGATCATTACCCTAGTTCATCGGGACGTACAACATGTCCACGTTCGTCACAAATTCGGACTTCAGTTTTTTTCCTTGACTTTTACCCGAAACAAAGCTCCGAATGTTGTTTCCCCAGTCGAACGCACTTTTGTCATCGCATATCTTAAATACCGGGTACATTGAAGCCACAAGTGAAGTGAAGGCACTCTCTACGAATACTGCTCGGTCTTTCACCAATACCTCTCCTCGGCGACGCCACAACATTGTCATTATAACCTCCATGTGCTGAAATTCCAATTGACGGAAAGTTAGATGATGGTGTACGCTCAATATTTTTGCACGGTGTACGAAAAACATTATTTCTTTTCTCCTTTCACATACCTCAGTGCCGACCCATTCTTGTTTCTTCGCAATCTCCAAGAAAAATTTGTTAGTAATGATGTGACCAGTCACTATGCTGAATTCCCTGCGAAGCAAAATAAGACCGTCACTTTTTAGTACGCAAATCTATTAACCTACAAACCTATAAAACACATAACAAATCACGCATTTCGAACGCACTTCTTCGTATTTTCCTTTAAAGCCCTTTGGAATATCTTGAACTCATCATTTGTAACTCGGTACACTGCTCGGTTAATGGGTTCATATCTCGGTTCAGTTCGACTTGCAAAAAGCCCCCACACTCGTGGATCCCCAATGTATTTCCTCTCATTCACTCTCTGAGACAACTGTGGGACGCGCTTCTCCTCACCTTTCTGAGGCAGAGTAACTGTTGCCGCTTGCCTGACCACCGGTTGATGTAAACGGCTCCGCATTGCCCAGTCAACATCAGCTTTTTCTTTTTCAGGGGTCTTCATTGCTTCATCACCTTCGTCCTCTACGTTCTCCGTAACTTTCTCAGTAGTTTTTCGGCCTCGGTGTACTCACCAACGGCTCCTACATCACTACGGCCACTGTTCCTCGGCTGACACCTACAATTATATTTTCAAACAACAAAACTTCATCATCAGGGATATAATTTTCTGTACAAGGTTTGACAACGGTGGATGGAGTTTGGGCTACAGAAAATACAACGGATACACTTTCGCTGCCAAGTTCTACGGTAATATGGTGTACGTGTTTACCTGGTGTACCGCTTCTAAGCATGCGGTTTCTTCACCTTCGGCCTCTCGCTTTTCTCCTTCCTGCAAGTCAGATTGTTAATAATAACAGAAGGATTATAATATGTATTATTTACCTGCGAATTTGATTCAAAATAGGCCTTACGAACTTCCTTTGCATTGCCATCCCCTATCCCTCCTTCACTGTCTTCCTCACCAGTTTTGTCATATGATGTTATTTTTTCCTCCTCTCTTTCGACCATGCTACAGCCCCCTTCAACTCCTTCCTTCTCGCTTTCTGCTCTTTCTAATATTTCCTTCTCCCCAACCTGTGGCTCACATTTAAATTAAATTGGAAAAATGATTTGTTAATACAAATCATAAAATCGAAGGTAATTCTCAGTAGTTGTATAGCAAAACATTATCCTTACAGAAACTTGGACGCCCTTCATTTCTTTCCCATCTCCTCCTTCCGTTTCCTGGCCTGTCTCTGATTTCTTAACTCCTTCGCTCTCTGGAGTTCCGCCTTTATCACCTTCCTCGCAATCGTCATCCTCTTTTTCAACCATCTCCTCCTCCGCCGTAACTTTTCGTTTTCTTTCTCTTCAACCAACAATTCATCTCTTCCTTCATTTTCTTTCTCTTCAACCAACAAGTCCTCATTTCCTTCGTCCCCTGCATCAACCACCTTCTCGTCCTTACGGTTCGTCTTTCCTCCGTCAACTACAACGGTTCCTCTTTCCCCACCAACACCCAATTCTTGTCCTACATTCCCATCTCTGTCTAGTTTATCAACGCCTAACTCAGCCAACACATCCAGAGTTCCACCGTAATACTTCCACGTACTCGTGTCTTCATCTACTCCAGTTCGCTCTTGCCCCTCCTCATCCGATATTCTATTCAAATTATCATCCCCTTCCCATCCCACCACCCTAGGTTTCTTGTACAACGGTTCCGCTTCCGAGTCCTGCCGTCTTCCTCGTTCCTCTTCTTGCGAGAAGTTTAGCTTTCTTTTTCACTTTCAGTTTCCCAACCACTTTCTCCACCTTTTTCACCCTGACCCGGAGTAGGTTCCCTAGGTCTTCCAATATTCCTTTCGCACCGGCCCTTGCATTTTCTTTCCCGTCTGTTGAGCCTCCGCCTTCAACTTTCTCCTTCCCCTTCTCTCTCTCTTCAGCCACAACTACCAAAAGAGCTTCCTTCATTTGGTTCAGATGGCCTAACATCCACTCTTCATCTCGTCGACAATTTCCAGCACCACCTGCTGAGGAAGAACTTCCTCTCCCCAGCTTCCTCACACTCTTCGATCTATCCCTACTATCACGGCCCCTCTTTCTCTTTGGCACTCCTCTGCGCAAAGGTTTCACTCCTTGTTTCTCCTTCTTTTCTAGCCTTTTTTGGTGTCGGACATCCTTGGAACCCTCCCCTCCATCTTCACAAGATTACTTTTCCTCCCGTTTTTTCCTTCTCTATTCTTCGCGTTTACGATGGGAACAAAGGTTGTGTCTCCGCCTTTGAAATCAGACTTCTTAAACTTGTAACCGTCCCTCTTCAGTTTCAGAAGTATTCAACTTTTTCATCGACCACTTCATCATCCCACTGCACCTCCTCCGGTTCCTCCTCGTCATACGAACAACACCTCCAACTACACGTCCACATATAAAACTTTAACGTCTTACCAAACAATAAACAAAATAGTATCCGCAAAACTTTACCAAACACTTAGCCTTACTGTACACTTTCGTTTCCTACAAACGAAGTGTACATGTTTCACGTCCTACACTTCTTCCGCAGTGGTTACGTCAGACATCCCACACTTAACCTTATAATGCATCATGCGTACAATTACACTTATGTCCTACACATTATTGCGCTCTGCGTATTACACCTACACGGTATGTATCCCTACAAAAAAGTTAGCATCCTGCGTACACCTAAACTAATGCACTAGCGTACACTGATGTCATATTAATTGCGATATGTCTGACCTATACACCCAAAACTACCAGATGAACAGACATAAAAGACATTAAAAGCGATTTAGGTTGGTCGACACTTACGTTAGGATCGCGTTCCACGTCCACAATCGTATTCAGATGAAGAATTGTAATAGTATTTTCACACGCTGTGGGATCTGTCAGTCAGAAAGGTATTCAGGTTTCCGGGGTCGGGGATTTTTTGGGCAAGAAGCGGAATGGCTTCCAAACGCCAGCAGCTGCAGAGCCAATGGGAAACCATTACAAACGCTGGTTTTCTGGTTCAGCCGGTGTCTCATCGCTCCTAGGGGATCCGCAGGACGCAATTCGGACTACATCTCCCTCCGCCGAGTCATCGCCGACTCTTCAACATTTTGCTGGGGATAAACCTAACTATCGTTTTCAAGAAAGATTCTCTGCCCCAAGAAAATGAGAGGAAGTACTCATATCGCATAGCATATCCACGTATGAGGGTGTGAATACGAGATGCTTGTCACGACATATAAGAACACCTTCCACCAAGATTATAAGAGCTAGGGGCATCCTTTTCCACTGAGCCAAATTCGGATCCTCTAGCATGGCAATGGCATCATCAACAGTTACTTGCGCATCCTTCCTCCCAAACAAGTCTCTCCACATAGTTGACATTATTTTCTTTTTCCCATCATCGTCTTCAGTAGACTGACTTGATGAACTCGCGTTTCTGGACTTGTCTCCCTCTCCGCCAAATGGTCCTCCGGAATTTTCCCGCAGTAGAGCCCAATAATTCGTTTAAATTCCCTGAGCGAGAAACGAATTGGGTTCGGACCGAACACTGTCCACAGTTCATATCTTCTCCTAGTCACCAGTTGCCGACAAGCAGAGCGTGAATAAGTTTAGCGGAATTAGAGGATCGTGCTACCGGAAGATTTAGCAAAATCCGGCGAACACAGTTCCCCGGAGATGTTCCAACTCCTCATGCCCTTGCAACGCCGCAACCACTTTGTCGATGACATTTACTTTGGCGTAGATGTTTAGTCTCTGAATACCCCCTGGGTAACAGTCCGCGGCATATAGACGAGAAGGAAGTTCACTTGAACCACCGGTTTTTTTCGTTGTTGTCCCTACAATCCGATTGAAACAGATTATATAATCTTTAATAAATTGACGCATGCATTCAGATCTTGGGATTTTATCTATTTTGCTAATTAAATCCGAACCATACGCTTCGGCTAATTCCAAGAAATTAGGACTTTAATCTTCCCTTACAGCCATTCTAATCAGTCCTCCCAACTACGCATAATCTTACCTTATCTACCTTTAATTAAGAAATCGTATGGTTTATCCCGTCTCACATTGTTTTTCCACAACCGACACGGTTGTGACTGTACCTGATTCCTATCTGTATGTTACTCCGGAGGTTTCTTGCCATCGGCGTTGGCGAAACCGGGTGAGGGACCTTCCGCTTTCTGCCCATCTAGATCTTCCCAACAATGAACTCTAATTTCCTTCAGGAATCGCAGACGATTATGGTTTTACACTTCAGTACACTGTTTCGCATTTATGATT